AGGGGTTTTATCACGGCAATGTTCCATCAGAAAGTTTCGTTGAGTTACACCCTTCTCTTTACTCCCATTGTTGTTTAGGTATAAAAGTATCATGACCAGAGCATTGCGAAGGTTAATATTTTCGGGTTTGGTTTCATTGAATAGCTTAGTTAATATATGGGAAGAAAACCATATCAGATTTTCTCTCAGAATGTCAGCGGTTTTATCTAAACGCGAAAAAGCACTCGTTCTCAATTCGGGTCTGGTCTGATCATCTCCATATTTTATCATTTCAAGGTTGACATCGAATAGGTTGACTAAATTGATGGCCATTTCGCATCGGATAACCGGAACTGGTTCGTTGGACCTAACGACCGTTTCTAGGGCGTTATTTAGCAAAGCGTTAGATCGGATAACCTGATTCATGGTTCGCTCTATTTTCATTATTTTTTCGACGAATATTCGTAACGACTCAAAGCGGCCATCGCTAGTTTTCAAATTTGGTTTTTCGCTGTTTGTCAAATTTGGGTTTTCACTGGTTTTAATTTCAAAAGAGGGCGTTTTGAGTGCGATTTTCATCAGTTCAACAGTCCCTTTGCCGACGCCTTCAAATTGCCCGTTGTCTTTGGCGCTAGATAGGAAAATGTAAAGTGTCTGTAGTACATCGTTCTCATCAGGTGGCAAATCGATGATGTCGGTCATCGTCATTAGCAGTTCGAGCAAATCTGCCCAGAAATCGTCGGTGGGGCAGAAATATCCATCGTTAGATCGTTCGGCAACGTCATAAGCTTTTTTAACTTCGGGATTGTCATAGAAACGTAATTCTGCGATGAGTTTTCTTATCGAAGTCCAAAATCCTACAGACATATGAGTCTTGTTGAGAGCCTCAATAATGGCCGGTACGTCAATGAAACGTGACTTGACCGTACCTTTTTTCATGTCGGTCCAAAAACTCTCCGGGCATGAGCAAACGTCGGTAAACTTTTGCTGTTGTTGCACAACACGATGGCAAGTGGCCTCGACCACTTCCATGATTTTCTTATAAATCATTTCACTAATGACTTTCAGCGTCAGTGTTTGAAAGGCAGCGAGTAATTGTGGCTTGTCGTATGTTGTCATTACGGAGTCTCTCACCGCTACCCACGATTTTTTTGCTTTTGGCCACGATACTAGGATCTTTGGGTCGTCCTGTGAGTCAAGTTCTTGCCAAATTAAATTTAATTCCGGTATTGTAGTATTAAGTGCGTTATTATCGTCACTCACGAGTCCAAGATCACTGACATAATTTTTTTTAATAGCTTGTACCTTCTCTTCGACGAGATAACTGAGACATTGCGTAAGTGAGTTTTGCATGGTCTTATCTAGATGTTGGCATAGTTTGTGAACTATTAAGGAACGAAGTGGACTGTTCGTTTCAACACAAACCTCTATTGAAAACATCTGCACGCGGTTGTCGACCGACTTGAGGAACTGGTCGATCTTGTTCAGCTCGGCTATGTCTGTATTTTCCTTATTGACATCACTTTGTTTTGAGTTAACTGGACCTTTTCTCATTTTATCTGCGTACAATTTGAGAGACATTAGCGCTGAATACATTTGATTGTTGTTTTTCTCTATAGACGTGGTCATTTGATAAAACATCGTCAAAGCGTTCAACATGTGCCCTGCTGTATCACTAATTTTACTTATACCATTGTTGCATGTATCCACACATTTTAGAAACGGATTCTTTATAGTTTCCCTACACGCAGCAGTCAATCCATGCTCTAAGATCATCAATTCTCTGAGTTCGTGAGCGTATTTGCAACCCAAAATGTTCGCCATCTGACGTATTTTTTGGTCCACGTTATTATCGTGAGTGACTGGTAATACGTCAGATAACGTGATAACTTTGTTGTCTATGATTTTAATATTATTTAACACATACCATTTTGGTGCAATTGAGTTAATGAAGTTAGCGCGTTCGTCAAAACATTCGACCCAATTGATATGTTCTACAACACACCACATTGCACTTAAAATCAGCACATTTACAATCGAAATTACATACATGTCAACGTAGTAGTGTTTTAAACAAAATTAACTTGACTATTAAAGATCAGCGTTACAGTTTTGGTTTTCAGTAAGAGAACTATACTAATCTGCGTAAAGCTTTAACTAACAATTCAAGTTTAAGTCTATGTAAATCTGATACATAAATAGTTAAAGATATTCCGTGAAAAATCGATGGTATTATGTTTTTAAGTTGCGTGTTATTGTAGTTAACAAAAACAAAATGTATTTGCTTAGGGGAACTGCGCCTTAAAACTCATTTAGATAGGTGCGAAAATGTTGTAAAAACAATTTTTGTATATATTGTTATTATTTATATTATTACTTTAAACTGAAGCAAACTAGGTCGGATTACTGTACACAAAAGTTTCCGAACACGTGTTGGAACTTTTATGAAATACTGAATTCAAAAACATGTAATAAAGAATTCAAAATTCAATAATTAATAATTAATTTAATTTAAATTACTGGCGTGGCGAGTAATATTTAATTTGCGGAAAAAATCAATTATTTAGTACAGTCCTAAAAAATTAGTTCAGTCTGGTGGCGAACTATCTCTAATCTACTGTATTTTGCAAAAGCTTTAACAGTATCGACATCATACGTAAATACAATTAAAAAAAGTTTAACTAACTTTTGCTGGAATGTACAACATCTATGTAATTGGTTCCATAAACCGTGTTAGAACTAATGATGTTCCATAACGGTTCATAGAACGAATACTTTTAAGTAGTGCAACCCACTTAATTTTTTTTAAATTGAATAATTTATTTATAATTTACAAATTTTGTTAAGTAGATCAACTATTAACAATAAAGAGCTTATTTCGCTAGCTTAATAGTTTCTATATTTTACACTCTTTTAGATGTATACAACTTAAAAAAAAATATATTTTTTCATAGTTGTTTGGTAATATAAAAACGAAGTTGTTATTATTAAATTTAGCACTAACTAAAAAATCATGGTACTAACAACACTGTAATATGTATGATTTTAATCTTAGAACTTAAACTTTTGGAAGTAATTTAGATTGATTGCCCATGAACTTTGGGTTTAATTTCCTGATTGACATGAAAACAGTTGAAGTATTCAGAATAAATATTGTATTCACAAATACAACCGAATTTAATACGAAAACACTACACACTAACTTTCCGTAATAAATAACTTACACGATTCTAAACCTCAACCACCCGGCGCCCATTGTTTTTTTGAGGAGAAAATCAATATTAATTTGAATTTACGAGTAGTATTAAAAAAAAGAGTGTCTCTCTAAAATAATAAGAACATCGTCCAGTGGTGTAAATAAATAAATTCGGTCCTGATGCGAAAAACCAAAGGGCCCTCTTTCCTATTCAGTATTCAGTTTAAATGTAGAAGAACGAAATTAGATACATGCCTTTAATAGTTTATGTATTTTTAATATTTATTTTATTGAATAACATATATATATATATATATATAAACATAATGTATATATAAAGGGCTGCGGGGAAAAAAGATCAATGTCAATTTTTGTTCATTCTGAGAAAATCATGTTTTTAATTACAAACATAATACATTTTGCCTGTATGCTTAAACTTCCGGCGTTACTCTCGACTAATCTGTTTTTTCCCTGGTTCGAGCGCATAAAAGATACAATATGTCGATACAAATAATTTGATACAAAAATCTCATTTTTAAAAAAAATTGACATTGATCTTTTTTCCCCGCAGCCCTTCATATTGTTATTGTTTACACTACAGACATCTACAGTAATTGTAAGCAGCTTATCATGATATAACTAACGATTAGTTATATCATGCAGTTTACAAAACAATACGAGTATTTAAATAGTATTAAAGTCTATTAACTCTTAACAGGACCGGTGCTAAGAAATATGCAAGGGGGGGTGTCAAAATAAAGATGCCGACTTTAAAATTTTAATTACCGACTAAAATATTTGGGTACTTTCGTAAATATTTTATGACATTTTACATCATGAGGGTCATTTTTTATTATTTTTAAAATAATTAGAAGAAAAATGATAATGATGTGATATTGTTATAAATTGTGACTAGATTTTTTTTATTTTTAAAATGTTTTTCGGAGCATAGAAATATTTTAGGCAGCTAACAAATTTATCTATTACTAAATTTTTCAGATCTCAGTCACCAATACTAAAACAGATTGAGCTCTACTTTAAAAGCATTATTTTAAAAATGTTTGAATTTATTTAACATAATTATAACGTATTGCAGTTGAAACTGCAATTTAACCGAGATAACGACGGCCACTGTTTTTTTTTGGACAACCTAAGAAATAGGAGGAAATGTAATATCTTTACAAAGTCGATCGGATTGATGAAAATAAAAATATATACTTATAGAGGGATAGAATGTTTGTTTACAATAGACCAATAGGTCCCATGACCGAACATAGTTTGATATAATATACACCACAGTTATTATAAACAAATAATAATACTTCTGCTAAAATCGGGAATAACCGAAAATGCATTGTTTTTTTTTATACTAAAAACTAAAATTATATTTTCGTATGGTCGTCCGTATGCCGACTATTTACTATTCAGTCGCCAGATTCCAATAAAAATTATGTACCTACCAACTTTTATAAAATTAAAATAATAAATATGTTATTTGTATAATTTTATGGGGGTTATGATATTTACCGACTTTTTGTTCCGAATGTGCCGACTGTGTATACTTGAGTTTTCCGAGTGAGGGGGTGTCAAACCCCCCCACACCCCCCTCTAAGTCAGGCCCTGACTCTTAATTGCTAAAGCAATGAAAAATAAAAAACTTTATTTGAAAAAATGTTTAGAAAATATTTATAACATTAAAATAAATTAAATTATCTTAAATTAGATTCTTAAATCGCCATCTACCAAACAACTTTTAAACTACGACTTATGTTTGTCTTATCAATGTTGCGCGGTGTTGTATCTTATCAAATTTGTGAATCGAAAACATAAAAACGTGTTTTCAAAAACTACGAGTTTTGAAAATTGTCTATGTACTAAGTTTTTAGTTTTGTGATTTTATTGTAGTTGCATTAATTGTTGGAAAATCATGTTTTGTAGTTGTTTCCTTTAACATTTTTTTTTTCTAATATTATTTTAAAATGGATGACTTCGACAACAAGAAAAAGGAACATCGGAAACCACATTCTGGTAAAAATTATATTCTTTAACAAAATCAGTTTTAAAAAATTATTAGTCGTTGGGTAATTAGTTTTATTGTTTTATTTATTCACAGGTAGAAAAGCTGACAAAAAAGAAGTTAAGAAAAAATATGATCAAAATGAGGAATCTGCAAGAAAAAGAAATCCAAAAGCATTTGCCATCAACTCGGTGGTTAATGCCCAAAGACGTTTTATGAGGTGTGTTTAATTTCAATTTTGTTCAATTTATTTTTGATGAATTTGATGTACTTTATTAAAAGTAATCAGTTAGTTTCAGCATTCTATTAATGAAAATTATAAAATTTGAAAACTGAGTTACTTTTATAATTACAAATAAAAATTAACTGAAAAAGTAGAAATGTTCTTTCCTTAGTGGTGCTGAAGAATTAAAATCCGTTTTTGATAACTTTTTAGTATTAATGACCATGACTTTATACACATTTATTTGGTTTTGTTTTAATGATTTTTGGCTTACCAAAATTAATCATAGGTACAATGCATGGGATAAAAATGTATACTAGTTACATAATACAGTTAAGTGACTGACGTGAAAAGTTTACTTAAGTCAAACTTAATTTAAGTGTGACTGAAAACTGTGCGTCTGATGCAGGGTTAAGCAGAGGACGTATGTCCTCTATAATAATGTGGCATGATTTTTATTATATTTTGCAATATTTTTAGAGCACAAGATTTGGATACAAAAAAACAACATATACCGCTAGTGGATCGTACACCACTAGAACCACCTCCAATTGTTGTTGCTATAGTTGGACCGCCTAAAGTTGGCAAAACTACGCTAATTAATTGTATTATTAAAAATTTTACAAGACAACCTTTAACTACCATTAGTGGCCCGGTCACCATTGTATCTGGTAAAAAAAGACGTATCACATTAATCGAATGCAATAACGATATAAACAGTATGATTGACTTGGCAAAAGTAGCTGATCTTGTACTCCTTATGATTGATGCATCATTTGGCTTTGAAATGGAAATATTTGAGTTTTTAAATATTTGTCAGGTAAATTATATTTTTTTTATCACATTACTTTGACATTTTTTATCCAAAATTGCTTGTTTTAAATATTGTTTTTTCTTGTTAGCCTTTATTTATACATGTTTCAAATTGCCATTACAAATCAGCTTGCATAAACAAATGGCTGTAATTTTGGTTTTCTTCACAATTTGAAATGTGCTATTTTTTGTAAGAAGTGTCAATTTACTATTAAATTTTTAAAACATTTTTATTTTTATTTTAGGTTCATGGAATGCCTAAGATAATGGGCGTATTATCTCATTTAGATATGTTAAAAAATAGTAAAACCTTAAAACGAACTAAAAAGTTACTGAAACATAGATTTTGGACTGAAGTCTATGCAGGAGCAAAGTTATTTTATTTATCAGGTGTGCAACGTGGTGAATATTTACGCAATGAAGTTAAAAACTTAGGAAGATTTATTTCTGTTATGAAGTTTAGACCATTAACGTGGCAAACTTCTCATTCATACGTTCTTGGTAACTTTTTTTTAATTTAATAATTATACCTTTTTTAACCTTGTAATTGCAAATTTTGATTAATTTACATATAGTCGATCGAATGGAAGACCTTACTCCACCAGAATCTATTCGCCAAGACGAAAAGTGTGATCGACGTGTTAGTTTGTATGGATTTGTACGAGGTATCCCAATGAACAAGAAAAGTAGTGTACACATTCCAGGTACCTTATAATTAATAACTGATTAAATTTAGAAAAATAAAAAAACTGACATAATAAAATTATGAAGCAATATGTTCAATTTTAGTCTGATACGGAGCTAGAAATTATGAGGTATGCTTATTTTAGGTTGTGGCGATTCTCCTATATTTGATATGTGTTATCTTCCTGATCCTTGTCCTTTGCCGGAAAAACAAAAGAAAAGAAGTCTTGTAGACAAAGAGCGTCTTGTTTATGCACCATTTTCTGGAGTTGGTGGAATTGTTTATGACAAAGATGCAGTGTATGTTGAACTCGGTGGAAGTCACTCTCATAGCAAAGTAAGCTATTTGATTATTAATTATTATTTATATGTATTAGTATTTTTACTAAATTTAAAGGTCAATTTATAGATTATGAACAATACTGGAGTTGAAGCACCTGGCCGTGATTTAGTAAATAATATTGTAGAGACACAAGATACTTTGGATCAAAAAATGGCACGTAGTGAAGTTCAGATATTTTCCAATACTCAACCAATAACTTCTACTGATTTTGGACAAGAGTAAGTTTAATACGAATCTAAATTAAAAAAAATCTCAATTCTTAATACTTATAAATTATGTATATATTTATTGTTATAGTGCTGAAATGGAAGGAGAAAGCAAAATGTCAGTTGCTAACATAACAGATTTAAATGATGGTCGTAATCGTCGTAAAGTGGTTTTTCGTTCAGATGACATGCAATTTTCAGATCTTGATGATACTGATAATGAAGTTGACAATGAAGATGACAATGATGATGACGATAATGAAGAACTAAATGTTGTTAAAGAATCTGAAAATAATACTGACACAAATTCTGATTGGACCGACAGCGAAGAAGAAACTGATAATAAAAAGAATTCCGAAGACCAATCACGTTTCTACGGTCGATCATTTGGTAAAGAAAACTCAATCAGGAAAAAAATTTCTGACGAGTTGGCCAAATTAGATAAGATTAATTTGGAATTTAATTCGGGAAAATTGATTGACGAAGATGAAGAGCTTTGCAGCAATAATAGTATGGAATATGATGATGACTCTGACGAAGAAGATGAAAGCGAAAATTATTTAGATACGAGTCACGCTGATGAAAATAATATGAGTGATGATGATAATGATAGTGACGATGATGACGATGATGACAATGAAGATAATCATTACAAAAGGACAGAAATCAATGATAACTCAAAAAAAGATATTATATCAATTCAAAATCAGACTCTAAATGAAGATACCACATTGAATTGGAAAAAAAACTTAGCACAAAAAGCTACCAATGCATACTACGAAAGACAAAATTCTGTGGCCAATCTTTGGAAATTAGTTTATGGTAACTATATTTGTATATTTTGAGGTTTTTTAAAAAATATATAATTATCAGGAGTGTAATAATAAGATTAGGGTTTATGCATGGCTCTGAATATATTATTCACACGAAAGCTTAAGATAAAATTCAACTTTTTTCTCAATAGTTATGTTTATTATATTCCTTAGCATTTAGCCATAATACTGTAGTTATTTGGTTCAGGTGTATGAAAATAACATAAAGATAAAGAATTATTTGAAATATAATTTCATTTAAAACTATTATGTTTTTTTTAGGACAAGAGATAGGAGAAAAAAAAGAAAATCAACTAAAAGAAGAGAATGATGAGTTGGGTGGTCTATTCCGTAAGTCAAATCTAAAGAATTTAAAAAAACAAAGTCAAAAAGAGGATATGGACAAAGAAGATGTATCTAAATTTGATGTAGAGCATTGTCACGATTGGAGTTTACCGGAGGTAAGAATTTAAAATAATTTTGTATTATAACTTAAGTACTTAAAATGTTCAAATATGTGTTTTAAGGTTTGTGATAGTATTAAAGACTTGTTTGTGACTGGAAAGTGGAAACGCAGTGAGGATGCTGCAACTCTTTTAGAACAAGATGATAATGAAGAACTATATGGAGATTTTGAAGATTTCGAAACTGGAGAAAAAGTTGAAAATCAAAATTATGACTCAGACGGCAGTAATGACAGCAATATTAGAAAACCTAATAAACCATTAACTGAAGAAGAATTGATGGAAAAGAAGAAAAAATTAAAAGAACAATTTGACGAGGATTATGATGACAAAGAAGGTGGTCCGACAACCTACTACGATGAGTTAAAACAAGAAGCAGCTAAACAAGCTCAACTTAATAAGAGTCAGTTTGAAGGAATGGATGATGAAATTCGTGTACAGTTGGAAGGTTATAGGGCTGGAATGTATGTCCGAGTTGAATTGGACGCAGTGCCTTGTGAGTTAGTCACACATTTTGATCCAACATATCCATTAATTGTTGGAGGATTACAGAGTGGAGAAGAAAATATAGGATATTTAAAAGCAAGTATTAAACACATTTCTCAGATTTCAAATTTAATGTTTACATCCGATTATAAGGTCCTAATCATAAAGTTGTATACTCTTATTTATTGATATCAAGTTTCCAACAATATATTAAGTAAAAATAGTTAAAAACAATTTGTTAATTACATTTTTTATTTAGGTACGAATTAAGAAACACAGGTGGTACAATAAAATATTAAAAAACAGAGATCCTGTAATTATTTCAATGGGTTGGAGAAGGTTTCAAACTTTACCAATTTATTCTAAACAAGAAGATAATATGAGGCATAGGTATGGTGATATTTTACTTTTTACAATTTAATTTTAAAAACCGTAAAATTTATAGTTTATATTATTATTTTACAGAATGTTAAAATACACACCTGAACATGTGATGTGCATGGCACATATTTGGGGGCCTATGACTAAACCAGGGACAGGTTTCTTGGCTGTTCAAGATGTATCCTCTAAACAAGTACGCCATGCTTCATAATTCTTTTAGCATACATATCAATATCATGAATATTTATTACTAATTTTTGTTCTCTACAGTCTGGTTTCAGAATAACAGCCACCGGTACTGTGGTGGACACCGATCAGTCAACTCAAGTTACTAAGAAATTGAAGTTGACTGGAACACCTTTAAAAATTTATAAACGTACTGCATTCATTAAAGATATGTTCAATTCCACTTTGGAGGTGACTAAATTCGAAGGAGCTCGAATTAAGACTGTATCTGGTATTCGTGGCCAGATTAAGAAAGCATGCCCGAAACCAGAGGGCTCTTTCAGGGCTACGTTTGAAGATAAACTCAAAATCAGCGGTAAATGTTTAATTTAAAATTAAGTTATTTTTATAAACAAAATCAATAACATAATTATATTTGTATATTTAGACATTGTATTTTGTCGTACGTGGTACAATGTTGAAGTTCCCAAGCTGTATAATCCGGTCACATCATTACTTTTGCCTTTGAACGAGAAGAACTCTTGGCGTGGTATGAAAACTACTGGTCAATTAAAGAGAGAGCAAGGTATTAAAGGGCTTCCACAAAATGATTCTATGTACACAGTAAGTATAAAATTTAATTAATTTTTTTTTCAAGAATTACATTTAAAATTAAATTGTTTCTTTTAGCCCATTCATAGAACCATGAAGTACTTCAAACCGTTGAAGGTGTCTAAGAACTTGCAAGCTCAGCTGCCATACAAGGATAAACCCAAGACTTTAGCTACGGCCAAAACGGACCTTAAGAAGCAGCGTGTGGCCGTGGTCAGAGACGGTCACGAGGAGCAAGTGGCGTCATTAATGAAGATGGTACGCACCACGTACAAGGAGAAGAAGCGTAAAGACAAGAAAGACATGAGAGTGAGAGTGAGGTCACACAAGAAAGATATCCAAACCGAAGTCAGGGCAAGGTACAAGAGGGACCAAGAGAAGAAAAAGGCAATCATGAGGAAACGGAGTAAAGCTTCATCGAGTAAATAATTAGTGTTAAGTTTATGTACATTTATTATTTGATAATATAGTTACAAAAATCAACCGCTGTCTTAATTATTTACTAAACAACGGTCAACTCGCCGTTTCTAATTGAACAACTCTGCTCCGTAAACATTATGACTATGTCTGTAATATGCGTTGTAATAATAGAAAAAAATTACATAATTTCATAAAATGTCTTGCGTTCTAACTATCGAAATTCCCTAATCGTTTGCCTTCGTCTATATTGTCGAGCTAATCTCGGGTAGATATAATAGTTACACTATTTTGTCATATTTTAAAAAGGCACAACCATCGTAACTTATCTCTCAGTGCGACCGGACACCCGGTAGATATTCTGTACAGAAATCGATACATTTCTTGTGTTTTGCGTTGATACTTATTCTCCTTTGATTTTGTTGGCCGCACTCGCCATCAACGCGTCTCTCAAAAGTTTCGAGGCTAAGGTACTAGCGGCCTTGGTGATTTTGCAAAACAGGTAGACGACCACCAGAAACGCCACGGACACGACCGCAATGACGTCCAACAACAGGTACTGATACCAAGCCAGGTTGAGCGCGTCTGATTTGAGGTGGTGGGCGCCGTTGTGCCTGAGCACGTACTCGGTCCAGTAGACCACCAAATTCTCGAGCGACACCGGTCTGTCCTTGAACCGCCTCGAATTGATCTGCGCGTTTTTCGTGTAACTGTTGAGGCAGACGTGACATGATCGACATTAGTTTAGTAAATCTCCCTAAAACCGGGAGATTGTGAGACAGTAAGTAAAAAAAAAACACCCAAATCTGGTTTTGTTTAATTCCAGGAAATGTTTGATATTCACAAATCACAATGATAAAAATGATGAGTTTCATTGGAGTTAAACGCACACCCAAAACGGCTTAAATGGCTAAGTTTAAAAAAAAAACCGGGTTATTTCCAACTTTGGAAACCAATAATTTACTCACTTGGCGTTGAACAGGAGCTCCTTGATGCTGACCAATAACTCAGATTCCTCGACGGTCATCAGGTCCATGGTGATAGCCATACCGGCGGCCACTAGGTTCTGTAGGTTTCTCGGTTGGTCGTAGTAAACGGGAAAACCCAAAACCGGCACGCCACCATCTATCGCCTCGTACACGCCCGATATGCCGCCGTGGCTGATGAACAACTTCACATTGGGATGCACTGAAAATTTCGATAATTACAAAAAAACCTAGACCGACGGTGTAATTTACAAACTCATACAAATTAGTATTTTCATGGATGCTGACTATAGTTTGTTGTAATTATTTTGTTTGGTATCTCGCTATTAATTTTAAATACATTGTTTTTAAGTACATATGCATATTGTTTAGGTTAATGTGTCGTCTATTAATCTCCATTTCTACCTCTATAAAGTTAATTCTTTTATAATCGCGCTCGATGTTCTCAGTAACTGCTGAGCGGATTTGATTCCGGTTTCTACTAATGGATAGAGCCTTCCACGGGGAAGGTTTAGGTGTATAATATGGGGGTACTTTATTAAAAAGAAAAGTTCAAAGTCGAAAAAATAACCGTAGCCGACCGGTGTGTATGTTACGGTGGAGTGCGGTGTGTTAAACTTTTGTTGTTCGCCGTGGTTTTAGCACAAAATATATTAAAGGAGAAGAGTCGTCACTTCCAATGTAAACGAAAAAGTACGGGGATTTTTATATCATATACAACAAAATAATAATACTTTGTTGCAATTGCATTTATTAATAAAAAATATTACCCGGGCGACGCCGGGTACACTGCCAGCTAGTTTAATAATATATTAGTATAGAATAATTATATGACATGATTAAATGCATATTATATAATACAGTAAACCACTTGAATAGGTGATTAACTAAAAATTAAAAATATAGATAACAAGTATTTTCGAGTAACTATGACGTAATAAAAATACCAAAAGAATAGATTGGCGACGTACACTCCTTTTGATTAATAACTATATTGGGAGCTCCTAAAGTATCTCAGTGTATGTTGTATTGAAGCAATAGTGTATTAAAATTGCATAATTGAAACGCCGCGTTACCTATTAAGACTTAAGAGTATTAAAAGTGGTCTGTTTTTAGGACGTTTCAGACCTAAAACCCTGACAAAATCAGGCCTGCTTAGATTGGTCTGATTTTAATTCTTGAAAAATATTTGGGTTTATCGGCCTCTTTTCTTTGTTATTGTGGGAATCGATTTTTGATATTTTAATTAAAATTGTGTTTGTACTTCTAAAGCGGAAGCTTATACAGATTAATCTGAAAATAAATTAATATCGTCGAAATTTGTATATATTTGTCCGATGTATATTGCAATCGTATTTAACGATAACTGATAAGTGGTATAACTAGGAGTTCTCATTGTAATAATCGAATTTAATACCAATACTATAATACAGTATTGTAATTTTAACTAGTACAGAATAAATTAAATCAGAACGGTCACTCATGAAAAAATTGCACGGGATCAGGAAGAATACGTATACTGGCGCTTCAAATCCTAACGTATTAGGATGGTACTTCCCAACCATATTTAATATGGACACCTGGCGGCTGGCATACCAATATTGTCGGATTCCAGGAAGGAAACTGTAACTTTACAACGCGCCTGTGCTATTAGGGAAAATATAGCACCGTGATTTGGTTTACATCTCATACATATACATTTTTCGGTGATAAATAATTAGTAATGTTTTACCAAGACAGTATATGATTGTGAAATGAGTACTTACGAAGAATTTCGCGTTGAGGGAACCAAGTACCGGTTATCACGTTGTCTGGTTTGTCTTTCATTTCACCTTCGTATTTCCACAAGACGCGCTGTGGGATTTGGCGAAATACGTTTTTAAACGTGTTTTGAATGTGTTCTGGTAAAGTCGACATATCCACGACTGATCCGAAAGTGAAGTAAATGACGCCGTTCGGCGAGTTTTCAATAAATTTTAAAATGTTCTAAAAATAAAGATTGATTTAAGACTAATACATTTAGATCGTATTTTAAGAATGACGCATATATATATATATATATATATGACATTCCAATTGTTTATTGCAGTTTTGAAATTAAAATTAATAATTTTTTATATGATAAGTATATATTTTGTACGTCTTACCTGTGGTATTTGACGGGGTGGCTTGCTCAAGTGTATGCCGCCTACGTGAACGATGTTGGGGGCCAGCGGCATGGCCGGTTCAGTGATATGATGGCTGTTGACTAACACTACAGACGGTTTAGCCTTGTTGGCCGTATCGTACGGCCGCCAGTGGGACGTGCGTTCGGCGTACCACCGCACCAACTGTCCGTAAGCGTAAACGGCCGTGTTGGCCAACCGGTGATGAAACGTGTTCAAACGGGATCCGTATAACAGGTGAGGTACATATGCCGGATTGGCCGCGTGCCCGATGATCGACGGTTGCATGTAGCTGATCATGGGCGACGGCACGACGTATATCATGGGCAGCCCGACGGCGGTGGCCAGGTGCGACACGCATTCCGAGCCCAGCGGTTCGGTCACCAGCAGGTCGAACTCGGTGGAACCGTTTGTCATGATGGCTCGGATCTGTTTCATATCGTAAATCGCGTCGCAGAACTGACGGCTCCATTGGACAACGGACGGAACGAAATACGACAATCGATTGTAGTCGTAGAACAGCGAAGACACGGATTCGCCCGAATGCCGCTGCAGTACGTGTGACGTGTCTATTTCGGTGTAGTTGTCGCGGTCGTCATCACCGGGGTAAGACGTGTACGCCACCACCCGGTGTCCACGGTTTGTCAGCGCTCGCAGTACGGCGCTCATGAAGTTCCAGTGGCTCCGGCCCGGCACCGTCTCCACAGCCAGTATGTTGGCGGCGTGGCACCGCCGCACGTGAGCGGCCACTAGCAACACGGCCAATACGGCGGCCGTCACGTGAAAAAACCGCGTTCCGTTTACCATCGCGTGAGTTTACTACAACAAGTTTTCCGTGATGTTTTTTTCGCTTGAGGAGAACGAACGTTTGGAGGGTCAGAGTATCATTGGGACTCAACTGTCTGTTTTTAATGGCATATAAACAATCTCGGGTTAATACTTCAACAGGAGATTAGTAACGGCTCGCACAAGACAAATTCTGCGTAATCCAGATGGTTCACGCGTATCGCGGCTGACCTCGTTGGGAAGTGGCGTGCATATTTCAGTTAAGTCTTTACTCCTTTGTTAAAGTGAACGAATTTATAATCTTGTTTTTTTGTGTAAAACAAGTGGCTGACTATAAGCGTTCAAATAATAATAATTATTACGTAACCCGTTCATATTTATAACTCATCAAAACAATATCGGAACATCCGACAAGAGGTTATTATGCACTTCTGAAAATATATTCTTTCCAACGCTGCGGTGCAGTTATACTCTACCATAACCGTAGGGGATAGATTACTTAGTAAAATTAATATGACCCAGCAGTTCAGCTATGATGCTGGAATCGGAAGAAATATAAATATTATGGTTTCTATTGCTAAGTGTTTCAGGAAGAATCAGCCAGCTACATATAATGTTAACTAAAGGACTAACCTTTAATTGCCAGTACAGAGACGGTGCGGCGATTGTTTAGTTACAAACACGCACAATGACCAATATTGATTTTGGGTGATTTGATACAATATTTGATCTAGCCAGTCATCATATTAAATTTTAATATTTATATATTTTTATATTTGTTTAGTGTTCTCTACCATTTTTGTATTTATGTGACGTGTTTTTTTAAATTATGTTAATAAAAGCCAATGATGGACTAAAACTGAAACTATAGCAGTTAATATAACTATGGGCGGTATGAAATATATTATAAACTATGAAGGCGTGAATCACGAGGATCTGGTAAAAAAAATAAATTATCACTTTCTGACATGTATATTTTTTATTTCTAAGCTCAATGGACCTTATGTAAACAATATTTGTTAGTTAGGCGAAGCCTGTCGAAGCGACATAACCTTTTACTCAAATCTTAACAAGTAAAAACGTCGTTGCCATGAGCTCAATTTTGGCTTATACTAAAATATTGCCATAGTTTATTGGCCATCTTGAATTTTACATCTTGTCTTACACGCAATTCTACCGCGTGCAAATCGCAGTGGAACTACATGAAACTTTTTACTGTAAAATACTTTTCAATTGATGCTTACATAAGTATATTTTATAAGTCATAGCTTGGCGAACAAAACAAAAACAATTTAAAAAAGCGACTGCGTGATTTGGCTCGATGGGTTTTCATGATCTAATCACGCGTCCCTCTTGACATGGATAGTGTTATCTAGTTTACTATAGGCCGTTGATCAATCAACCCATACACAAGGATTACAATTTGCGCACCAATAACGATTTGTTTTATTATTAATTTTTATTTTGGTCTATATTCGAGTGTTTTGACATCAATTCGATTTGCACGGCTACAATTCAGCTCAGTACTCGACTTTGCCTAGGAAAATCAGGAAGCATATTGCTAACGTAAAGAAAACATACCAAACGCAAGAGGAGGTGAGTTGCAAAAAAAAAACAAACAAACGTTGACATAATTGAAGGATGGCGCATTGTTAAGGCATTGCTAAAATATTATTGTATGTTTAGCCTAGACGTACATTATGTTTAAATTAAATTAAATTAATTATTGTACGTTATAATTTTAATGAAAACATTTATTTGGCAAAATATTTAAACCTTCATGAAAGATTTTGTATTTTCAATTTAAATCTATTTGACAAACACAAATATTATACATCCGTCCAGAATTTAAATGGTTATTAATAGATAAAAACATATTTTTAGTCTAATATTTTTGTAGCTAATAAATTATGAGAAAATAATATGGTTTTCAAACCGACAATTATTTATAGTTAACTTTGAGAAAACAATACCTCAAATGTAGTTGTTTAACGTTGTCGGAATTAAAAGTAATACTACAAGGCAGAATAAAATTTTCTATTGTACAATATGTAGTATACAAATAGATAATTTTTAATATTTTTGTACAAGTGGAGTAAAAGCTAACGCTGTTTTTTGTAAATTTTATACTATACACATTTTACTATTTTTAGCGGCAAACCACACCAATAGGCCGACCGGTGAGGACCAAGTTAGCTACAATCCCGGTCAATAAGTCCACACGACATTATTATTACTATTAAGTATAAATAAATATATTTATTATCATCAAACTTATTTTTAATTTATCCTTCTAAAGGTTGGATTTAAAGGGAAACTAAGTGTCTCAACAAGCTTCACTTGTAGAACTTAAACACATTTTGAACTATTATTCACTAAAAATAATTTTTTTTATCTTCTATTTGAATTTGAATTTTTTTTATTATTCGGATCCCGATTAGGATATAATTTTTGGCCTAAGTGCCATCACACTAAATCCTTACTATATTATGTTTTTTTTTTATCTGCTTGTGAATCTTGGAATAACCGGGAGGGAACTATCCAATGGATTACTTCCTCTCGGCCTCCGATGCCGTTTATTTAAAAATAATACAATTAATTATCAACAAATGTTAAAAACCTGTTTTCCTCGAGGCAGTTTTTCTTATTGTTATCTAGTGTCATATAATTCAATTTACATCAGAGTACTAACTACTAATTGAGTAGCTTAAAAAAAAATAAAAAGTATACTAATTTTCGTTAGAGAAAAATGTAATTAAAATACACTCATATGATTAAAAATAAACATTAATTTGAATAGCAGAAGTGACTTGGTAATTTTATTTATTATTAACGCTGTATTGTTGGTGTATATTTTTATTGCTGTTAATTGTTAACTAGATATAAAGTACTATATATTTTTTAAATATATTTTATATTTAAGTTTTGCGCGTCTTACGAATTTATTCGTTTTAAATAATGTACAACGTAACAACAAGTGTAAATCTTTTTGGTTATAAACTGTAAAAAATACAAATTTCTTTAATACCTGTATAATACGTAGGTGTTTTTATACAAAAATACTAATACCTTTGTGTAACACAATACAACCTATTAACGGGTTTTTAAAAATAATCTACACTTGAAAATATTAAAATACTACTTTTAACTCAACACCCAATTTCGGAACAATTATTATTTTAAATTATCAAACAGTTTGTAAAATCGAAACAGATGTAACATTAGATTGGTATTTTTATGAGTTTTATGACTCGAGTACAGCAGACGCTCAGTGACGCTACTTAAACTATTAATCTACAACTATTGACTATAAGGATTAAAATAATAATTATTTATTTCAAATTCGAATTGCTGCTAAATGTTAACAATTTGGTATCTACAGTTTATTTACACAATTTTTTTAATGTAAAAAATTTAACAAGTACCTGACATTAGTAAACATAAATCCACCTAATAATAAATAATAATATGTGTATTATGCATGCATATATATATATAAATGGATATATATGTGTGTGTGTGTATGTAGAAATAATATTTGTAAAAGTATGATTCGTCGAGCCCCTGTCTAGTAGACACAGTCTTGCGATAACTGGTTGGACATATATTATGAGCTCTTGATCCCTTTACTTTTTGCTCGACGCGATTTCGCTACATGCAGAAAAGCATGTAAAATCGCGTAGAACAGGTAAGTGACTATAAAAACCGCGACCAGCACACAAGCAATTACATCCAATAGCAAGTGTTGGTACCAGGAGAGGTCAAGAGCTTTAGAATGCAAGTGGAAGGCGCCATTGTGTCGGAGAACGTATTCGGTCCAGTAGATTACCATTTCAGACGGTGACATTGGACGGTCCTTGAGGCGTTTAGATGCTATTTTCGCATTTTGCACGTACCTATCGCAGTAAACACACAAATATCGTTTTAGAAAAATAAGAAGGTGATTGACTTTAGATGTTTGTATTACAGTGATAATTATTTTTATTTTTACAGTGCCTTAAAGGTATTACTATAAATTAAAAGTACTTTACTATAGTATACCGAGTGCAATGTATGGCACTCGGTATTATCTCGAAACGTGCGTACAAATCTGATGAGTAACAGTAATTGTTTTTTTATGTTTTCAAAGGTGAAGTATAAACGCAAATAATTTAAATAGTCACTTATCCGAATCGTCGACACTGGTGGGTGTTGTATTGTATTCATGTTGTTTACAAACTTGGGTCTGACGGAACTAACAACTCTGCTATTGTCTATTACTGTATTTTTTTTTTAAAACAGATTAGACTAAGTTACCTATAGCTACAATCATTGAATGCTCCGGTCAAAGCAGAGGAGGGTTAAAGCGTTTACTCTAGCTATCTTATATCTACGTCTAGATGTAGTTCAATACAATAATGTAGATGATACTTTGGAAGGAGTAATGAAAATAACAGTTCTATCTGCAGATCTAAACGACTTTTTTTTTTTAAAAAACAATGACAAATATTTAATTAAATATTTGGCATTGGTATTAAACATTACATCTAAAGTCTGAACGTTAATATTAAAATAAGTGCAACGAAAAATAACTTGCGATTTAATTTGTAATAACCAATGCGTTGCGACAATAAGTAAACTCGTGCGATCTCTTAAAATTATGCTTTTATTGGCGTTGAAATCTTAAACTATTTTTTGAGTGCCGTCCGTTAAAAAAATGCTATTGAAAAGTGAAAACGAATGTGTTGCCAATGTTCCCCCGCGCTTCTTCGGCTCGACGATCACACAGCACTCTAATCTAAGGACAGGTGCGCCCCTACATAACGTGTTTGTAATCTAGTCACGTGTCGACGCCGCCAAGTCTTTGAGGGTTAAGCATTTCAAGAGCCTAGCAAATGTCTTCCTAATCTTATAAATATTATGTGTTATTATAATATAATGTTTTATACTCACGTTTCGTTGTTGACCAGATCGTCAATGGCCGTCAGCAAAGTGTCTTCAGTGACGGTCAACAAGTCCATTGAAATGGCCATTCCGGCTTTGACTAGATTGGCTACGTTTCTAGGTTGGTCGTAGTATAGCGGGAACGCTAGCATGGGCACGCCGGCGTCCACCGCTTCGTATAGCCCGGATATCCCGCCGTGGCTAATGAACATTTTTACGTTGGGATGCACTGAAAATTACATTATAGGGCCTTATTATACATAATAATATTATTAAAGGGATTTGTTTAAATACATTTGAAATATAATACAAACAATTTGTTTAAAAACAGTACTGAAAAAAATCCAATAAAAATCTTAATTTTTTATATTCATAAAATGTTGCATTTAATTTTGATATTTTAAAAATTTATTCAGCAAATATTTAATAAGTATTGACTTACTGGTATAAGACTTGTATATGACTAAATCTACGAGTTTAGTGATAATTCAAATTCTTATGATTCTACCATACTACGTATTCATAGCACTATTACATACATGTTTGTGTATAATAATAGAATTGGTTTGCTTTTACTTCATAGTGATATAACAAAAAATCGGACCATTAAATGAATCTTTACCTACTTTGTTATAGACCACCACTGTATAGATGTACTCACGGAGAATGTCGCGTTGGGGAAACCACTTCTTTGTCATGACGTTGTCCGGTTTCTCTTCCATCTCCGTCTCATACTTCCAAAGAACCCTTTGAGGGACCCGCGACAGCGCGTTTCTGAAAGCCCGCTGCATCTCTCTGGTCAGCGTCGACAAGGTCACTACCGATCCGAACGAGAAGTAAATGACTCCGTGCTGCGAGTCCTCTATGAACTCCAGAATATCCTGTGTCGAAGAGCGTTAGTAATGCGTTTTTGCAATAATATTACTTTTATACAAAATATACTCCTAGCGTACTTACCGGGGGCAGGAGCTCGGTAGTTTTCAGGTGTATGCCGCCAATTTGAATCATATTGACGTGGAACGGTCGCGGCGGTTCGGTTATGTGGCGTGTGTTGGCGAACAGCAACGACGGCTTGTGTCTGACGTCGTCCACGTCGTACGGTTTGGGCTCGGCGTTCGCCATCCGCGCGTCGGTCAACCACGGCACGACCTTGACGTACGTGGACAGCACGAAGTTGGCCAGACGCTGCGCGAAGTCGTCGAGGGCGGCGTCGCCTCCATACAGCAGGTTGGGCACGTACGCCGGATTGGGTCCGGTGCCGAATACCGGCGCTTCCATGGGCGTGATCATGGGTGACGGGATCACGTAGATTTCAGGCACGCCCAACCGGTGCGCCAGGTAAGACAGACACGGCGAGTAGAAGGGCTCGAGCACGATCAAATCATAGTGCCCGCGGCCGGCGGCGAGCAGCTCGCGAATCGGACCGAACTCGAACGCGGCGTCGCATATGTCACGCTCGTGGCTTCGTTTCGGCATGGGCGGCAACATGTTCACTACGGAGCCGAACCGCTCGATCTGCAACACCGCATCTTGGTCCGAGTACACGGGGAACACGGGGGAACTGTCGATTTCCGTGTAGTTTTCCCGGTCGCTCGATGGCAGGGGCGTGATTACCGTCACCTGGTGCCGAGTGGCCAGCACGTCTAGTATGGATCTCATGAACTGCCAGTGGCTACGACTGCCCACGGTCTCCACGGCTAGTATGCTGGCGCCCTCGACGGATAGCAGTAACTGCATGACCGCCGGTAGCAACAGTGTTTTCATCGTGCAAACAGTATCACAGATTAACGGATTACCTACTTACAAACTAGCTGTGGGATAATCTGTTTACAAAAATTGCTATCTGATCACAGGATAGGTTAGGACTTGACTAGGTTGGCCATGACCCAGTGTTGTGCACGTTCAGGTCCGACCAGACATGCGTTTGTAAATAATTAAACGAGGTAACTGTGACTATATATAGGCCACGTTTGCTAAATTGTAGACCTAAGGCTATAAAAAATAAAAATGATTAATGGCCATTCTCGACGGTTTAGCTTAAAAATTAAGTATAGCTTTTTTACTAAATACTAAAATAATAGGATTGACTCAACTGAACACGTTAAGCCAATCCGGTGAGACGACCATTAGTTTAGAAGAAAATAAATATTCAAAAGATTTTTAAAAAATGTAGCTCTTTTTACTATAAATATTCGAGAACTCTCAATATTAATAAAAAAAAGGATGTACAAAAAATAAATAAATTAAAGGTATATGCTATTGTTTTATCACTTAATGTTTGATTCATAGAATTATTCTTTATAATTATTTATTTGTTGAACTTTTTTTTATATTTTTGCATAACTATGTGTTATATACGAATCAAATAACTATAATATTTAACTTCCACTAGCGTTTAAATATACTATTATTATAAGAAAATTACTAATCATAAATATTATAATCTTGTTTTATTGTATACCTATTCTAGTTTAACATAGCCATCCAATAACAAGAAGTTGTGGACAGTGCACACACCGCACTGTAGCCCTTATTTTTGTGCTGTTGAAAATATATATGCCCTATCGTAATTTCCACAGTAAAAATGAGGATACAATGAAAAGAAACATTTTGTATTACAAAGAATAATTATAAATATTTTAGATTTATTAAATTCTAGTTCAAGGAGTGAATTTAGCAACTACAAAATGTTAAATAATAGTAGGTCTACTGTATTTTATTAACATTCGATTTGCCTACAACAAAAAGTCTAAATTAATTTTGTGTGGAATTATTTTAGGAAATATTTTCAAGCTAAAATTATTTTACTTCAGAAACCTATGTACATAGTGTATCTGTGCTGCTTTATTGACTTACTTACCTTTTTCTGTGTAAATCTCAAATAGTCGTCGTCCAGTAAGTATATATTTTTTAGTATTCAAAATGTATGATACTTTATACGAAACTTAAGTAGACAAATTTGATTAAAAAAATATATTCACTTGAATAGGCACAAATCTTATATTATCCAATCAAAACATCATGGCGTTTAAAAATTTAAGAAAAAATACATCAATATTTAGTTTTGATTTATGACAGTTCGATTTCTTTTATATTACTATACTATATAATATAATATATTATGTTGCACGAGTAAACCATTATGTTAGGATTGCCATACGTCGAATCGTAAAATTATAAGATAATAATACAGCACGTAGTAGGTATAGTGTATACCTTACTTGAAGGAAGCAATAGGTCGATGAACTTTAATCTTAAGCACGATACATGCGTGCTTCGTAATTATTTTATATTAGCTTACGTTTACACTAACGTCGTCGAGCAAATTATTTTTTTTTTCAGAATCGGCAGCCAGTACAAAGAATAAAAAAACTAGACAAGCGCTTTTTCTGTGATAGGTTTGGCGCACGAGTCAGCATTTTATGTAGGCATATTAAAACACATCAAGTGTAGGTACGTCAGATAAAGTTTTATTAGGTAAAATTTAGGTACATCAACTTAACAACAACCAACTAATCGGACGGATATAGGCATAGAATATAGAGATTATAATACAACTTGAAAACTAGTTTATGTAATAAAAAACAATTTACCTATAACTCTACAGCATATCGAGTACCAATGACAATGAAAATTTGCAAACCATAATGATCTGATAGGCATAATTAAATTAAACCGAGAAGTAGTACAGAAAAAATATGAACCGAAATAATTACATTTTAGTATTTTAAGTCTTAAATGTACAAATATGTTATAGTTAAAATAAGCCACGACTATTAGTTTGCTTGATATTTTTAACATTGTACCTATAGAGTCTTTAAACGAAACTACTATTTTATTTAGTACAGAAATTGAAAAAAAAACTCGTGAATCAAATATTATTAAAACTCGGTTGAAATGTTTCTTTTGTTTTTCAGCAACAAAAAGTTGTAAAGATACTAACATTTAAAAGTAATGTTTAAAGTTATGTCATTCAAAATAAACATAAAAATGTGTTTGGCTTTTTTAAATTCAGTATGTTAAAAACTATATACTAACAAAAATACGTTTTGAGAGCAAACATACAATCAAATATCAAGGGAGCCTAAACTTTCCTAAAATAAGAAATCTCAGTCACTATAAATAAATAATTATTTTATTTAAAAATAAAAAGAATACAATTATTCAGTTTTTGATTTAGATATAAATAGAAATCAATTCCTTACAACATTGCAAAATGTATGTAAAATATTTGTGTACATAGCCCTGTATCCAGTAGTCTTGCGCAATAGACACAGCGCTGATTGATACCATCTAACGCTTTTATATGGGAATACTTGAAAAAAACAAGCTTTATAAATATTATAATAACTAAAATATTGTGTTGATTACTAATGTATTATAGTAAAACACTTATAAAATAAATAAGTGACAAATATCAAAGTTGTCAAACTTGCAAGAAAAACATTTATGTTACACATTGGAATAACCCAAATAAAAACAATATTTCCTTGTTTGCATATAAATAAAAGTAAAAAACTTATAACACAAATAAGTAACAAATAACAAAATTGTCAAGCATGCAAGTAAAACATCTAACAATAATATTTCATACCAGGTTAAGTCAAAGGCTTTAGACTTCAAATGAGGCGATCCATTGTGACGAACTACGTATTCTGTCCAATACACAACTGATTTTTTTGGTGGCATAACGCGGTCTTTAAACAGTTCAGAAACAATTTTGGCGTTATGTGAATATCTAAAAAAATATATGGATTAATATTATTCCAAAAAATGTTCACAAATTATTGAAGTAAATTAAAATAGTTAAATAAATATTGTTTATTCTACGATTAAATAAAAACACGAGATTATTTTCCTCCTTATTAAAAGCTGACTTGGTATACGTTGAGGTACGCTGTAAATTGTTTGTAAAATAATAATTCCCACTCGAACTTGCTCTATCTAAAAAAAAACCATTGTACCAACGGTCCGTTGGTACCCCAACCTAATCTCTAACCTAACCTAACCTGCTGGGAGTGCAAAATTAAAGCTTATAATTAAATTAAATTTATAACTTCGATTTTACCAGGAACGCTACTATTGCTTGACCCAGCTTTGCTGTAGGGCGTAGGCCATCAAAAATTGATTTAATTATTATACACATATACATTACAATTTACACCTATTTAAATTTAAAACAATTGTTTTGCTTCTCACATTTTGCTCACCTCCTACCAAGTTGTTCTTAATGAGATGAGGTATTCCCTTGAACGGATTTTTTTTTGTTATTTTTCCAGATGTATCATCATCATCGATGTTTTCTATTAAAATAACACGTAATAACCAATTACTTTCATTAAAATACCTATAGCGTTTATAGTTTTAAAGATAGATAGTTGAAATTAAAATCATTTTGAACCTTAACTTATAAAATTTGTCAAAGAAGCAAAAATAAAAAGATGGCGTTATTCAGTATTAAATATAAACCCCAAGTCTAACAAAAAATTACTGTCAACAATGAACCCCTCCGATGAATGGTGGTTCATATAGTTTGTTTATTTATTTATTTAGTTTTTAAAATTATTATTTTCGCCTCTTTGGCAAATTTTATTGATTAAGTTGATTATTTGATAAAAATATTATCAGAGATAACTTGGTAGGAAGAGGGGTTATGGAAGACAAAAAAAATTGTTCTATTTGATTAGGTTAAAATTATACAAATACCTATATATTATTACTTCTATTATTTTTAGAAATTTATGGTGTTTATCTAAAATTAAAATTGTTTATATGTAAATAGACCATTTTATACTAAATATAAAAAAAAATTGTTTATTTATTTTACCTAAAAATGTTGTGTCTTTAATATTAGATAAAATTAAAGACAAATGATTATTTAGAGCAAATTCTTACAAAATAATGATTTAATTGTAATTATTATTCGACATTTATAACTTTCGTAAAATGTCTACATTTTACTGCATCTAAAGTATGGTAAATTTAAGTTAATTAATGTTATTAATTACTATCAATCAACACATAACAAAATGTGGCTGGGTTCTAAATAGGGCTTTAAATATTATAGAGGGAAGAATATTGATATAACATATTATATTCATTAATGGTTTAAAATCCTTATTTTTTACTTTTCATACATTTTTTATTCTTACATTTCATTGTTTATAAGCTCACGCGCAGAGTTCAAGATTTGAATTTCAGTAACACTCATTAAATCTAATGAAATAGCCATCTCAGCCGCTTCGAGATTTGCTAAGTTCTTTGGTTGGTCTATGATCATAGGAAAACCTAGAATTGGTACTCCACCATCAATTGCTTCGTATATACCCGATATTCCACCGTGTCCAATGAACAATATTACATTTGGATGTACTGAAAAATAAATAGCATAATATGAATAAAAGCTAGTAGTAATTGCCTATGGGGTATAAACAGCCCTTTTGCATTTGTATATACCAAGTATGTCTCTTTGAGGAAACCATGTTTTCGTCATAACATTATCCGGTTTGTCTTCCATTTCACTTTCAAATTTCCATAGTATTCTCTGAGGTAGTTGTCCAAGGGCTCGCTTAAATGACTTTTGTATGTGGTCGGGTAATTTTGACATAGCTATTGTCGATCCAAACGAGATGTAAATCACTCCGTTCGGTGAATTTTCAATAAACTCAAGTATATCCTGAAATATAATGACACATTATTACAATAATACTAATTTATATAAATATAAAACTGTGCCTCTCTTCCTTGAGTCGACTTGTTTCATCTTACTTGTAAGAACATGTACATGCTGACACATTTTAAACTGTACAATGAATCATTTTTTTTTTAAATATTTATGTTTAAATAAGTATTTTTATTTAAATGTTGTTATGATTACACTAAACACTCATTTTAGTTTTTAGTTATGGCGGGTAACGTGGGTAGTGCTGATTGTCGACGCGCTTGCCTATGTTACCCGCCATAACTAAAAGCACTGTAATTTACGTGCAACCACGGCCAGTAGCCTATCTATTGTATTCATAAATCATAATCAATATTATTACTGATTACACTAACTTCGACAGATAGTTTTCATTTTATACTATAATAAATAAAGCTTCCTCGTAATTCCAAAGTGACTGATTGGCTATACGAAGAATATCTAATCTAATTGTGTTTTGTTCTATATTAACTTGGGATATTTAATATAGTTTCCTTAATTTTACAAAAATCGAATTGCTTATATTATAAAATGTTTAATATATTACTTACTTTCGGTATTGCTTTTGGTCCACTCAGGTGTATTCCGCCGATGTTTATAATGTTAGGCGTGTTAGGTCTAGCCGGTTCAATGACTAAATTACTGTTGATGAATATAACGGATGGTATGACCGGTTCGATGAAGTCATACGGTTTAGGATAAAAATGTTTGGTCATTGCCTCCGCAAACCAAAAGTAAAATTTAGTTTTTAAGGCAATTTCTGAGTTTAAAACGCGTTCTTGAAAGGATTTTGGTGTGCTTAAAGGTGACAATACAGTTGTGACGTAAGCGGGGTTGGGTTCTTCTCCCACGTAAGGCGACTCAAATATGAATGAAGGCGTTGCTTGTATGTTTATTAAAGGCAAATTAAGAATCCTAGCTATGCATGACAAACAATTTGAACTTAATATTTGAGCCATTATTACATCGAATTGATCAGTTGATGATGCGGCGATGATAATTTCTTTCAACCTGTTGTTGGCGTAAAGTTCGTCGCAAATATGGTTATTAAATTTCATTGCATTTATCGCTAAATTTCTAATGTCTCCGAAATCTTTAACGCGTTTAGCGAGATCCATATCCACTTGCGTCCATTCCCGGTTGCCGGCCGTATCGATTTCGGTATAATTTTCATAGTTCCCGTTTAAAAATGGTGTGAACACGGTTACAATATGACCCTCGTCGGTCAACGAACGGAGCACAGATGTCATAAAATACCAGTGACTCTTGGCTGGAATAGGTGCAACAGCTAATATTCGAAGACTTTGCGAACAGCGTAATGATATTGCAATGTACACAAAACAACGCAGAAAGTTTGAAGAAATCCCGGACATGCCACTGATGTTGAGTATAACATATCACACGTTCGAAGTAAACACTAACCTAAAAATGAACGTTTGATTGAAGGTGTACGCTTGATAGGAACTTATTAAAATATAAACTATAGAAAAAAATGATTGAAAAATAATTCTAAATCTTAAGATAAAAATAATCAATAAATCAATCAATTATTCTATAATTTTATGCCTACATGTAAACTTCTACCTGAGTGACCTTTTTACCTGACCAAACAGATAACGAAAATAAAATCGTAAAATGGTAATTTCTTACAAGCTGGTACAGAAAAAATTAAACAATTAGTCATCAGGTCTAGATAACCACTACACAAACGTTTTAAAATGAGTGTAAATTGAAACATATATAGAAAAAAAAAGTTCTGGTACACATTACCAAAGAAAGTTTAAAACAACGAAAATAAATAATTTTGACTCCATGGTTTATTAGTTTTACAATTTTTTATTTTATATCCATATAATTGTATTATTATTTTATAATAAATAAAATAGATATACAGAAATGCATTTAATTGTACTTGTGGTGTAAAAATAAAGCTCTTGGAGAAATTCTTTTCTTATCGCCCCTTGACTCTCGCCAAAATAAAAACGAAAGACAAAATTTATCATGCATTTAAATATGATTTTATTAATTTGAAAAATATTTTGTTCTTTTGACCTAATACAGTATTGAACAACACGATTTTTTTACAAAAATCAAAACACATCTATTCTTTGGAATATTTCCGCTGAAGCCTAATCAGGCCTTAAAATTGTTCTAACACGTTAAGTTATTTTAATATACAACATTAATGTTGTATAGGACAACAAAGTTGAAAGTTCAAAGTATATAAAGATAAATACCAGGCATATAGTCCAAACGGACACATGCAAAAACTTTGAATAATATCACTTTGAACAGTAAATCATTTGAATCAGAGTAGCGTTGTTGTCGCGAAACCCCCTTCTATGTGCTATAACCTAAATGTTTGGGAGACATTAACACGTGTAAAACGATTTATAGTAGGTAATACGTAGGAGGTTTTTTTTTTATTTTTCATTTATTTTACGATGGAGATAGCACGTTGGAGATTTTATCTTATAATACCTTATTTTTTCTGTACCCAGGGATACCAAAACCTCAAAATTGTAAAATTTTCATAGGAGTTTATTTTTGCGGCAACGACGGTATCTTTGAATCTGGTTTTATTTTAATTGCTATTAATTGGAACCAACATTGTTTTAAATTAATGAATTTGGAACCACAAAATCTGGAATTTATTTTACTTGGAAACGATAAATCTTGAATTGATAAACTCGGGTCGATATTTGGTTGAAACATATTTTTTGGCCGACTGATGTGATTTTAAATAAAGCGCGGGTCACCGTGTATTGGGCACTGGCTACATAAAAAATATCCTAGGTTTGCAGATTACAGTGCAGATTCCTCTCATATAATCCTGCATAAGTCACAATGTTTTTAATATTGAAAATATAGGGAAAGAACTTAATTAGATTTCGACTAAAATTAAAAAATAATACTACATCAGATTAAAGTAAGGTTCAATATACTTTATTACACGTTGGATTAGTTTAACAAGTATTTCACTGAAAGTTTATAAAAAAAAGTATAACACATATAAAATGAATAAGTGACAAACAACATAAATACTGAAACTGCGAAAAAAACATCTAACAACAATAATTCGTACCAGGCAAGGTCTAAGGCTTTAGACTTCAAATAATGCGTTTCCTTATGACGAGCTACGTATTCAGTCCAATAAACAACTGATCTTTTTGGTGAAATCGGTCGATCCTTAAAAAGACCGGAGGCAGTTTTGGCGTTGCGAGAATATCTAAAATAAATAAGTAGGTATTAAGGTTGACACAAAAATAATTTTTGATTTATTGAGATTTTAATCAATGTACACTATAGATCTATACTTAAACAAGCCGTTTACAGAGGGGTCGAGGCATAATATCACTTTCAAATAAACGCTTCAATCTGTATTTGTATAAATGAGTAGAATGAGTACACGAGTAGTTCATTCTACTCACACGGTGATTCATCTAATTGTAAGACACTAATTTTTCGGAAAATATGAATATTTTGAAAATCATTCTTGTGTTTTTGAGTTAAAATAACGTATATTAAAATCAAGTTAAATATTTTAAGCTTATCCCCTATAAGTAATAAGATTACAGAAACAAACTATCTTCCATACAAAATATATTTTATTCTATACTTAGTATTAAAAAAAAAATGAAAGTTTCAGGTATTTAAATATTGTATTTTACCTAATGATACAAATTTGAACATAATAATTATCAATTATAGACCTTTAAATCTAGAAAATTTATAATTCTTACTTTTTATTGTTTATTAGCTCATTCACCGATTTCAAAATTTGAGTTTCGGTAACGCTCATAAGATCCAAAGAAATAGCTAATTCAACAGCTTCGAGATTTGCCAAGTTCCTTGGTTGGTCTATGATCATAGGAAAACCTAGAATTGGTACTCCACCATCAATTGCTTCGTATATGCCCGATATTCCGCCGTGTCCAATGAACAATACTACATTTGGATGTACTAAAAAATAAATAGTATAATATGAATAAAAGCTAGTAGTAATTGCCTATGGGTATATATAGCCATTTTGCATTTGTATATACCAAGTATGTCTCTTTGAGGAAACCATGTTTTCGTCATAACATTATCCGGTTTGTCTTCCATTTCACTTTCAAATTTCCATAGTATTCTCTGAGGTAGTTGTCCAAGGGCTCGCGTAAATGACTTTTGTATGTGGTCCGGTAATTTTGACATAGCTATTGTCGATCCAAACGAGAGGTAAATCACTCCGTTCGGTGAATTTTCAATAAACTCAAGTATATCCTGAAATATAATGACACATTATTCAATCACACCATTAAAGTTTTCTAGCTGAATTTTCTAGCTCTATTGTAATCGAACATAGTATAGTAACTATGTTCGATTACAATAGACAATATTATGTATTTCTTTACATTTTATTTTTTAAAGAAATATAGTATTTTATTTAAGAAACAATGATATATAACAATGTCTATCAAATCATAGGTTATCTGCTAAAAAGATGTATTAAATGACATACTTAGCTCTAAGTATTTTAAGAGTCATTAGTATCTAAGTTATGCTCGTAGATTAAAATATATTACTATTTTTTTACCGTACCTCTCCCTTACCTAGACTTTTAAAAGCTTATTACAAGAATACAGACTATGATCATGGCCACTGAGCTGATTATATATAATATGTTTAGTTTAGTGGTCGTGGTTATTTATTGAGAGGTAAAAAATATGCAGTATTTAAAAAAAGTGGTTTTAATAAATTTTGGCTATGTCAATTTATCAATACTGTAACATTATTCAAAAAATTATTTTATTCTTACTTTCGGTATTGCTTTTGGTTCGCTTAGATGTATACCACCGATGCTTACGACGTTTGGAAGGTTTGGTCTGGCCGGTTCAACGACTAGATGACTGTTGATGAACATAGCCGAGGGTTTGACCGATTCATTTAAATCATACGGTTTGGGAGAAAACTTCTGAGCCCATATTTCAACAAACCAAAAAAAAAACTTACTTTGGAGGACGATGACAGTGTTTTGGACGCGTTCTCGAAATGTTTTTGGTGTGCTTAAAGGTGACAATACAGTTGTGACGTAAGCGGGGTTGGGTTCTTCTCCGACGAACGACGCTTCGTAAACCAATGCGGGCACTGAATGTACGTATATTAAAGGTAAATCCAGAATCTTTGCTACGAACGAAAAACAGTCTGAGCCTATATTTTGGGCAAATACTACGTCGAATTTGTTAGAAGCCTTAGACGATGACGCGGCGGCAATAATTTCCTGAAGTCTGGCGTTTGAGTAGATTTCTCCGCAATATTGGCTGTTTACTTTCTTAATGTTCGTTGCCAGATTTGCAATGCTGCCAAATTGTTTAACTCGTTTAGTGACATCCATGTCCACTTGAGTCCATTCTTGACTTCCCGATGAATCGATCTCGGTATAGTTTTCATAGTTGCCGTTTAAAAACGGAGTCAATACTGTTACACTGTGTCCCTCATCAGTCAATGCATGGAGTACAGAGGTCATGAAATTCCAGTGACTTTTAGCCGCATACGGAGCGACGGCTAAAATGTGAAGACTTTCGGAGTACCGAAAAAATACTAAAACGTATAAGGAATATTGTAGAAGATTAAATGAAATCCCAGACATGACTAATTAATTGGTTGTTGTAGCGCTGAACACATGTTAACTTCAATGAAGGACCAAATGGAGGTACGTTTTGCTTGTAGTCAGGTATAAGACTGAAAAAATAACTGATATTGTTTATTTGCTGTTCACCGATAATAAGATAAATGCATTTTTTTTATGATTCGCTACTTTCAAATGATGATGTTAACCAGATTTGAATAGCTTCCATAATTTTTATTTGTGAATGATTTATTATTTCAATATCAAATCAAGTTATTTAATCTTTGTATAATGTGTAAATAGCTGTTAGTAATCTAAGGCAGTTATATATATTGTTAAAAAAATGAAGTGGACCTACCACTCAAACAAGTTAAAAGTGTATTAAATTTAATTAGTAGTTTAATTTAATAAGTATCCATAAAGTATAATTACCTAAAAACAGTCGTATTTAAATAAATTGGACAGATATACTTTATACAAAAATCGCAATATTATTATGAATGTTAATATAAACAGATCAGTGCAGTGAACAACTACGAACTACTGCTTAATCATAGGTTAATTATATTGGAACATTGGTTGCTGACCGTTGTTCTTATCTGAGTATGTCAGATAGGTGGCAACGTCTGATAACTACAGGTTAGGTTCAGTATAATATACATACATGGTAATTACTATGTACAATTTATCAGATTTGAATGTGTTTATCATTAAGAATAGCTTACTTACCTATTGTATTCTTACAGCTGTCCGATATGATACTGAATTTCAATATTAGTGCAGTATGTTTTCACTTTTTAGTGTATTCATTGCTACAAGAACTCTTCATGTTCTTACCACACAACATCAAATGACAATTAAGATGAAATTGCACATGTATTATTTTAAAGAGTTTTGACAAATCAATTTTTGTTAAAATATAGGCTGTATACTATACAATATATTATACTTATATACAATAATACACACCGATACGATAAAATATACTCGTATAGATACAGAAGTCATATTATATACAGGATATACATGCTAACAGGATGTTCAAATTGACACATAAATAAAAATTAGAAGTGGAGAAGAATGTGTAATACAACAACGAAGTAAAATAACAACGCAAAAATACAAATTCATTAACAAAAAGTGACAAAAAAAAGAAGATAAACAGATTTTAAGATACTAATTTTTGACCATCGAAATCGTGAGCTATCGAGTTTTCAAAATAAAATCAAGATTAGCTTAGCGTTTATAGTTTCACAGAATCAATATAATAAAAACTAATAGATAAATAGTACTCATAGAATAATTTTAATAATTTTTTTAATTGTATAATTGACTGATATATAATTTAACTTTATGTTACACATTGGAATAACCCAAATAAAAACCATATTTCCTTGTTTGCATATAAATAAAAGTAAAAAACTTATAACACAAATAAGTGACAAATAACAAAATTGTCAAGCATGCAAGTAAAACATCCAACAATAATATTTCATACCAGGTTAAGTCAAAGGCTTTAGACTTCAAATGAGGCGATCCATTGTGACGAACTACGTATTCTGTCCAATACACAACTGATTTTTTTAATGATATCGGGCGGTCCCTAAATATCTTCGAAACTTTTTTGGCGTTGCACGAATATCTGAAATAAGTAGGTACATTAATATCATACTAAACATGTTTAACCGATTAGCTAAGTAATTTTAAAAATATATTCTCGAAATAATTTAAATCCCCAGATCATTCATCCGTTGAAATAAGATATTATTGTGATTTTATTATTTGAGTCATATAATCAAATAGTTTCTCACAATAAACAAATAGTTTCTGGATAAGCGAATCCGTCTAGAAACCGTCATCATCATCTCATGTAGGCAGCGTTGGGCTTTAAAGACCCGTTAAGCTGATGATGATAAATAGTTTACCTAACTACTGATTGTAATATCAATTTATTGTACATTGAAACTATACAATGTAATAAGAGATTACTTTGTATTATTAATGAGTTCATGCACAGACTTCAAAATTTGAATTTCAGTGACACTCATCAAGTCTAATGAAGTAGCCATTCCGACGGCTTCGAGATTGGCCAGGTTCCTTGGTTGGTCGGAAAGCATAGGAAACCCAAGCATTGGTACTCCAAAGTCAATAGCCTCATATACTCCCGAAATTCCTCCATGCCCAATAAAAAGCTTTATATTTGGATGTGCTGAAATGATATAAAAATAGTTTTCTGTGTATTGTTATAGAAAAAAATTAAGAAAATGCAAAAGGGATATAATGGAAATTCATGTAAGAAAGGAAACCGGGTATGTCCAAACCGATATAGGGTAGCAAGTAATCGCGAGCAAAATAGCTATTTACCGAGTATGTCACGTTGTGGAAACCATTTTTTCGCCATAACATTGTCCGGTTTGTCTTCCATTTGATTTTCAAATTTCCACAGTATTCTCTGGGGTAGTTGTCCAAGGGCTCGTTTAAATGATTTTTGTATGTGCTCCGGTAGTTTTGACATGGATATTGTCGATCCAAACGAAAAGTAAATTACACCAGCCGGAGAATTTTCAATGAATTTTAGTATATCCTGTAAGATAACAATATACTAAAGACTATGGTTTTGATCAGTACGAAAGTACGAATAATGATTATCACTAGAACCTCTAGGTAATACAAATATTTTAAATTGTATTCAGTATATTCAAATTGCGTCGTATTTTTTTTTTAATAGTGCTAAAAAATTTTAGTTAAGAAGTATTTAATATTGCAAAAATAAAATATTCATGTATAGCCTACAGCCTTATATAACTGTGGCGTTATTATATTAAAAATAAAAATTTTAATATGAAATTATAAAGCATTATTAAAATATGGACATGGATATAATGTAATAAAGTATTTAAAAAAAATCCTTTAACACAAATTATGTATTATTTTTTAATTTTAAGTTGCTTTTTAAATATTTCATTATTTTATTTCTTAACTATATACAGTGATACTTTTTAAGTGATACACTAAACAATATCTTATTTGGAGGCAGTTAAAAATATAAATGTATGTAAAAAATTGAAATCAGATTGTATAAAAACACAAAAAAAAAATTGTCAATAACTAATTAAACCCCGTGAGTTATTGAGTAGATCGCTTTAAAAAAATCACCCTGTATATCAACAAGTGTTGTTCTAGATTTTCTTCTGCTTTTTTTTCCCTCAAGAATATTTTTTTGTATGTTGGGCGCATTTTATTATATATCATGATGCCAAATGTTCACCAAAAAATGTTTTTTAAATGTATGTTTAACACTATTTGATTTGAGTGCTAATATTTAACTATACAAAATAAAAACATTATACACACAAAGATACATTTGTAATTATTTACTTTCGGTATTGCTTTTGGCTCGTTCAGATGTATACCACCGATATTTATGACGTTTGGCATTATTGGTCTGGCTGGTTCAATTGATAAATCACTGTTGATAAATATAGCGGATGGCATGACCGGTTCGATCGTTGCCGAATTCTTAACAATTGTAGTCTCCGCCAACCAAAAGAAAAATATGCTTTGGAGGGCGATTGCAGCGTTTTGAAATCGTTCAGTGAAGCCTTTGGGCGTGCTATAGGGTGAATATAAAGTCGTCACGTACGCAGGGTTGGGTTCTTCTCCCACGACTGGAGACTCATAGAACAAAGAGGACCATGGATAAATGTATATCAAAGGTAAATTCAAAATTCTCGCTATGCCCGAAAAACAATCTGAACCTGTATTTTCGGAGATGATTATGTCAAATTGGTCAGAGTTCGTGGACGATGAGGCGTCATTAATAATATCTTTTAACCTGGTGTGCGAGTAAAATTCGTCACACAATTGTTTGTTCATTTTTCCGCCGTTCATCGCTCCATTTCGTATACTACCAAAATCTTTAACCCGTTTAGCGAGATCCATATCCACTTGCGACCATTCCCGATTGCCCGCCGTATCGATTTCGGTGTAGTTTTCATTGTTCCCGTTTAAAAATGGTGTGAATACTGTTACATTGTGTCCCTCGTCGGTCAACGAACGGAGCACAGCTGTCATAAAATACCAGTGACTTTTAGCTGGCAAGGGAGCAACGGCTAAGACACGTAGAGTTTGTGCTGTTCGTAATGATAATAGAAAGCACAAAACACAAATGAGAAAATTATATGAACTTCCAGACATGATAATGATTAACCGACTAGTAGTTACTATACAACTGTTGTAGGTAATTGTAGGTTGTATGTTCTTATTAAATGCCCTGTAAATTACGTTACACGATATATATCATAATTACCTATATCTTAATATTAATTAACTTGAAAAATAAGATAACCTAATCTCTGATTGGTATGTAAACAATAGTGTTAAAAAACAAACAAATTTATAATAGTCAAATACGTTTAATCAATACTTGTATTATTCGGTTATGGCTTAAGCTAAACTATATGTTGTAATACTATAATATTATGGTTGGTAGAACATTGAGTTGTGTTTTATCACGTGATTAATGAAACTTAAGTATTGTTCTTGTTAAGTACCCGGCCGATTTTGACGAATCTCACATCGACGAATGCAGTACAAATGGTTATATAAGATTGAGTCACTTCCTATCTCAGAAAAATTAAACGGAAAGAGAAAACGTATACGCCAACTGATACTACTAAGTCAATTTATTACTGGCTATAAATAATTGTTTATTTTAAAAAATGTACAATACTCATAAGTGCTTTTTTCAAACAACGGCCTTTTTATTTAATGATATTTTTTTTTGAAAATATACTACAGGTATACTTTTATTTTAAATTAAACATGTGTGTGTGACTGTATTTAATTATTGCGAATACATAAGTTGTAAAAGTCAAGTACCCACTGATATCATATTGTAATCCAATCAGTTAATTTTATTTGTACAAATATGAACATAAATATTTATGACCATTTTGTGCTTGAGGTTTTTTCGGATACGTTTAGTAGGTTAATATTCTAATAATTTTATCGTGTATTCAATTTGTACATCATCTGGGTTGCGCTATTCTCGATGAACTTTGGCTATAGGACCATAAAAATATTTGTATACTTTTTTTAATTGGCGAAAGGCCAAGTACGAAATAAGCAAAAGTGCTGCAACTATCGCGCCGATAACGTCCAATAACATGCACTGGTACCAGGTGAGATCGAGCGCTTTGGATTTCAAGTGTGGCGCTCCTTTGTGTCTAAGAACGTATTCGGTCCAATACACTACTGACTCTGCCGGTGACATCGGACGGTCCTTGAAACGGTCCGAGGCCGCTTTAGCGTTGCTCGAATACCTGTAGTCAACAAATACCGGTTTTGAGCCTAAGGACTTTCATTAAATGTCGTTTCCAAAAAAAAAAAATATCTCACTCAGATAGTACTCACGTATCGTTATTGATCAGTTGTGTAACGGTGTTTAAAAACTCGCTTTCCGTCATCGTCAAAAGATCCAAAGATAAGGCCATGCCGGCGTCCACCAGGTTGGCTATGTTCTTCGGTTGATCAAAAAACAAAGGGAAACCCAACACGGGAACTCCGGCGTCCACGACCTCGTAGAGTCCGGATATTCCTCCGTGACTTATGAACAGCTTTACTTTGGGATGCACTAAAGTCAATAAAAATGATTAGCTTAGATATAAGTGTTATACCAACGCATTTATCGACGTTAACCTAAAATATCCCGTTGTGGCAGCCACTTGACCGTCATCACGTTTCCCGGTTTGCCGTTCATATTGCCCTCATACTTCATCAAAACTCTTTGGGGCAATTGACCAAGCACTTCAATGATAATCCGTTGGATGCGTTCGGGCAGCGTCGAAACCGATATTATCGAACCCAACGTGAAAACAATTACTCCGCTAGCCGAATTTTCAATAAACTCCAGTATATCCTGAAGCACAGAATCGAAATCTATAAAACTTAATTTAATTATACGGTATGCAGTTTAAAAGTTTATAGGTGCTACGCTGACTTTTATTATTTAAGTACCCGAAATGTGCGGCAGATGTAATTGCCGATAGTAATTTAGATCAGTATTTGGAATATTTACTAAAAACGTAGTCATTTGCGTTAACGTTCAATTAAAAAAAAAGGACACGTTCATTTAGCCATTTCCTAAATCGATACATAAACGTGTCAGGATATTTTATAATCAATCGATAATATGTGCAATGTGAAGTTCGGCAAAAGCTTTAGCTATTTCGAGGTTGTCAATAGTTTCTGACATACAGATTCATTAAACCTCTTCTCATCAAGTAACTATTTTGAATATTAAAAAATAATAATAAATCGAATTACGATTTTTAAACTTATAATTGAAAATTATTGTTTTCACTGCCCCATAAGGCTGATTTTATTTCTAGTATAAGATAAAAAAATTAATCAATATTATTTGATTTAGGTATTTTTACTGTAGTCAAGCAGTGTTTTGTAATTTAATAACATACTCTTTATCATTATGCAGCCGTTAAGACTAAATGTTAATGTAACAAGGTCTAAACAAAAAGCAAATTTACATATTACCTAATCTTAAATAGTTATGGACGAATGAATATCGTTCACGCTTTACCTCTACCAAATACTGAACGCGTTATTTCCAGACACTAATTTTCACTCACCGACGGTATGGGTCGCGGTCGGGTCAAATGGATGCCACCGATCTGCACGGCATTAGGGGGCAAAAGCCGAGCGGGTTCGGTGATAAAGTGCGTATTCAGGAAAACCAAAGACGGGACGATCGGTTTAACCAGTTCATAAGGCTGCGGGTCGAATGTGCGATCCACGTACCAGCGGAGGACCGCCGAATGCACGTATGTGAGCACATTGAAAAACCGTTCCTGAAATGATTTAGGGAAGCCGCCGAAAGAAGTGAGCAGATGGGAGACGACCGCCGGGTTGGATGCGGTTCCATAAATCGACGGTTCCAAGTCGGTGAAGAGCGGTGTGGGACTCATGAATATGAGCGGTACGTTCAGTAAACGTGCATAATAAGCTGCGCACTGGGAACCGTACACTTCGGATATGACCACGTCGAACTGGTGTCGTCCGGTGGCAAAGTCTTTCCATTTTGGATGTCGATGGACGGCCTTGCAGTTAGTCTTGGTAAAATTCACAATGGATCTGACCGACTTGGAAAGGCCGTCAAAATTGTTCAACATTGTCATGGCGTCAACATCGACCACTACAGGTTTACCCAGAAATGGGGTCACGTCAATTTCTGTGTAATTCTCGCGGTCACCGTCCACAAACGGCGTGAACACGGTCACGTTATGACCGCCGTCGGTCAGCGCGCGCAATACGGCCCTAACGTACGTCCAATGACTCTTACCCGCCGTTGCCACTGTGGACAGAACGTTGGCCGTCGTGATCGGCCTACAGACGGATAAGACCACAACGCATAGCAACACCTGCAATTGAATTCTCCACACTTTCATCGTTAACATGAATGCACAAATAAACGGGAAAAAATAAACGTTCTCTTGAAAACCCGTATAAGACACTGCGAAAAAAATATTCTATTATAATAAATTAATGAAACTATCGCCTATGATGCCTACCATCAATTAGTTTTTATACCTCGATAAGAAATAAAATAAATGTCAAGTGATATAAGGTAAAAACCTACCTTAAGTGCAGATTTATCTATAAAATATTTTTATTAAAACATACGTTCTCAAATTTTTACTAAGTTAAAATATTTACCCAACATTTTTTATTGGCGCTGGTTTAACATTGAAGTGTTCTAGACTATATTTTTAAACTTTTAATCTCGTGATGATTTTGTGTTATCTATATAAATTTTAAACAATACAAATAAAATGCATTCGGGCGCGCTCAAGTTAATTTTTTTATTCATATTAGTTAAAATTTCAAATCTATAAAAAAATATGCAAGTATTGTAATGAAAGAGTAGATAACCAAACAAATAAGACCTGTTCACAAATCGTTTTTTTTTTATTAAATACCTATTTACCTATTTCGAAAAATACATTTCAATAATGTAAAATACATTTTACTTACAAATAGGTATACAATTTTAAGACTCCAGAAAAATAACTAATAAAAAAATATTTCTTTAAAGTCTCATTTTACATTTAACGTAATGTTTTTAAAATTATTGTATACTTTACAATTTATCTACATTTTATATTTTTAGGTGTTCTATAAGCGTTTCTTTTTTAACTATCCCTCCCTTAAAATACATACATACATGGTGTTCCACAAGGACCTGACAAATAAAAAACCTTTTGTTCTAGTTAATAATTCTAAGATTTTTTTTTTAATAATTTACACTCACTTACGCTAAAAACACTACAGTTCGTATTACTTTTACCAATTTTACTTTATTCAATAATTTTTTTAAAAAAATTTCAAGATAACCCATTTTACTGAGAATTTTGACTCGTGGATAACCAGTTTTAGATCATTACTTTTAAAGTTTTAAAAAGTTAAAGGGTAGAATGTGGCATGATGTAAGCGTGATCTGCACACATTACTCTACCACACTCTACCTCCCATCCTACACTTTAAACTTAAATAACTTTAAAAGTAATTATCCAAAACTAGTTGTTGACCAGTAAAAGTTTTCATCAAATTATTCTTAATAAAATAGATATTTTGAATTTTTAAAAAATAATTGTAAAAAGTAAAACAGTCAAGAGTAATACAAACTATACTGTTTACATCGCAAAAAAGTATAAATTAATTTAAAAAAAAAAAATGTTAAAAATATTCACTAGAACAAAAATTATTTCATTTGTCAGGTCTTTGTGGGACACCCTATATATAAGGTAAAACCAACATTATTAATCAGGCTGGGGAGGTTTTACCTAAATTTTGTTTTTTAATAAATAAAAAAGTTATTTCTCTCTAATAACAATAAGTCCAAAATAGTTTATAGTATTTGGAATAGGACATGTGTTTTCAATTCAGTGGCGTAGTTACCGTTGGAATAATGGGGCAACCACCCTTTGTTTTGGGCGCAATTTTACGATATTTGCATACGTATATTATAGGGCATGAGCAAATGTTTTGTAATCGATCATCTATTAGATTGAGTATTTAAAAAAAATAGTATTTTTGAATTCTAACTAATGATTAGTAATGGAATATGTAAACTAACTACTCGATTACTATATTAGGTTACTCATTTAGTAAACTAATAGCAATTAGTTCAATTATTCTTTTTTTCCTTATCACAACTCATAGTGTTAAAAATCATTAAACAATTTTTTCTAGTTTTTTTTATAATTAATTGTTATTTAGTTTAATTTTTGCGCAAACATATATGTAGAATGTAGAAGTAAATTATAATATATTTTATAGCCTATATTATATGGACATATATGATGTATATTATATATATATATATATATATATATATATATATATATGTACAAGGTGTCTCATAAAGATAAGACAAATGAAATAACTTATATTCTAGTGAATATTCTTACGATTTTTTTTTTTTATTAATTTATACTCATTTGTGCTATAAGCGCCACGTTTTTTATTGCACTTATCTATTTTATATATAGATAACCATTTCATTCAGAATAATTTTTAAAAAAGAATGTGTATTTTTAATCATCCATTAAAAAGTTATATGAATTTGAAAGTAATGAAAATTAAAAAAATTACCTCCACGTTTAAAGGCGGTATCACACCTACGTCGTCTGTTGTGTCGTTAGCCAGAAATCGTGATCACGGTACAGTAATGCCAACGCATTTTTAAAAACTTTTAAAACAATATTCATTCGTACACTAACCGTTCGTTTGTCTTTAATAGATTATCGTTCAAAAATACGGTTTTTTCTTGTTGATCGAAAAACCAGTAAATAAATAATTCGTACACGAATATTTCGTTCATATTTTAGATCAAGTTCAAAAATACACCCCCAGACACTAATTTTTACTCACCGACGGTATGGGTCGAGGTCGCGTCAAATGGATGCCGCCGATCTGCACGGCATTAGGGGGCAAAAGCCGAGCGGGTTCGGTGATAAAGTGCGTATTCAGGAACACCAAAGACGGGACGATCGGTTCAACCAGTTCATAAGGCTGCGGGTCAAAAGTTCGTTCCACGTACCAGCGGAAGACCGCCGAATGTACGTATGTGAGCACATTGAAAAACCGTTCCTGAAATGTTTTAGGGTAGCCGCCGAAAGAAGTGAGCTGATGGGAGACGATCGCTGGGTTGGATGCGGTTCCATAAATCGACGGTTCCAAGTCAGTAAAGAGCGGTGTGGGACTTATGAATATGAGCGGTACGTTTAGTAAACGTGCATAATAAGCTGCGCACTGAGAACCGTACACTTCGGATATGACCACGTCGAACTGGTGTCGTCCGGTGGCAAAGTCTTTCCATTTTGGATGTCGATGGACGGCCTTGCAGTAAGTCTTGGTAAAATTCATGATGGATCTGACCGAATTGGAAACGCCGTCAAACCTATTCAACATTGTCATGGCGTCAACATTGACCACTACAGGGTATTCCAGAAATGGGGTCACGTCAATTTCTGTGTAATTCTCGCGGTCACCGTCCACAAACGGCGTGAACACGGTCACGTTATGACCGCCGTCGGTCAGCGCGCGCAATACGGCCCTAACGTACGTCCAATGACTCTTACCCGTCATTGCCACAGTGGACAGAACGTTGGCCGTCGTGATCGGCCTACAGACGGATAAGACCACAACGCATAGCATCACCTGCGGTTGAAGTCTCCACACTTTCATCGTTGTATGAATTTGTCGAATGCAAAAAAAATTGGAAATAATAAACGTTCTCTTGAAAACCCGTATAAGACACTGCGAAAACAATATTCTATTATAATAAATTAACGAAACTGTCGTTTATGACGCCTATCATAACTTCTTATACCACCATAAGCAATAAAATAATTTAAAAAAAGATAAAAACGTAGTTATCGTTTATTACATCGAGTATTTTTAATGTCAAGTGAATCAGGCAAAAACTACTTTAAGTGCAGAGCTATCTATAAAATATTTTTATAAAAACAAATAAAACCTGCTCAGAAATCAGTTTTTTTTAAACTAATACCTATTTACCTATTTCGAAAAATAAATTTCAATATTTGATTTTACTTACGTACAAATAGGTATACAATTTTGAAACACCGAAAAAATAACAAGTAAAAAAATATTTCTTTATGGTCTCATTTTACAGTTTACGTAATGTTTTTAAAATTATTGTATACTTTACAATTTGTCTACATTTCATATTTTTAGGTATCCTATTAACTTACCCTTCTCTTAAAATACATACATACATGTTGTTCCACAAGAACCTGTCAAATAAAAAAACTTTTGTTCTAGCGAATACTTCTAAGATTTTTTTTATCATTAATACTCATTTGAGCTTTAAACACTACGGTTTGTATTACTCTTAACTGCTTTACTTCTTCAATAATTTGTTTTTAAAAATTTCAAGATAGCCCATTTTACTGAGAATTTTGACTGGTCGATAACCAGTTTTGGATTATTACTTTTAAAGTTATTCAAAGCTAAAAGGTAGGATGAGGGTGGAGTGCGGTAGAGTTATTTTTATCTGCACACATTTACTCTACCTCCCATCTTAAACGTTAAACTTAAATAAATTTAAAAGAAATTATCCAAAACTAGTTGTCGACCAGTAAAAGTTTTCATCAAATTATTCTTAATAAAATGGATATTTTAAATTAAAAAAAAAAAAAAAAGACCCAACGATTAAGAGTACTACAAATCATGGTGTTTATAGCGCAAATGTGTATTTCCGTAAGTTAACCGTTACCAAATGTTTAACTTGAGAATATTCTTGAGACAATGATGTATTAAAAAAACACCCACGCCATCACCCCTCCCAACTACAATACACACACACATCTTATTGTGCAGGAATGAATGTTTATATACTACTCGTGCTTTGAAAACAAAATAAAATTGAAAAACATAAAAACATCAAAGCATCCAAAGCTTCAAATTCTTCTGCATCTGAATAAATAAAGGAGTTGGTTTTAACGTTCACATAATAATAAAACATATATTATACTATCGTTATGTTATGTACGGCGATGTAAAATGTTATGTTGTTTTGTAAAATCAAGTAGTTGTATTCGCACGTTACCAAAACAAAACCGATAATATTTTAATTTAAAAATTATAATATTTTCAGAATTAACTAATTGGTTAATATTGAACTTGATCGTTCGATTGACGTGAATAGTTTACACGTGCATTGACTATGGTATTAAAGACAATTTTGATTTTATTGTCAATGACTGCATCTATCGTAGAACCCGAACCGACCAACATTGTTGATCAGCTGCATTGTTATTTTTCGAGGTATGTACACAGTTATTTTATGCGAAACGCTTATTACTTTAAAAAAACGTTCGAGAGGAAACCGGGTGATAAATTAAACGTTCAACAATTAATCGAGTACGGCGTTGCTGTCAAATCACACGGTAAAGTAGTCATGGCCATGCTCGATGAACTGAGGCACGCCAATAATAACAATAATGACCATTACCCGAAAGATTTGTTGACAGCGAATTTTTATTTGAATAACATCTACGATACCGTGCACATAGGAATCGTAGAAAACGAGCCGGGCGCTGATGGTTTGAATAAAAACGTGCATTATAAAATCGGATATAAATTATACAATGACTATATTGCGAACCACTTATCGGAGTTCATGAAAGGCAAGTGCCACGAAGGTGTACACGAAACACCCCAGACCGACCACCGTCTGAAAGCGTTAAACAAGCTGACGCCTAAGAAGCGCGACATTAGACGTATGAAAAAACGAGAATTTCTCCACACCCTACAACAAACCTTACCGCGGTTGTATATGATTTTCGGTTCAACCCTAGCCCGACATACGTACTTGGATTTTCATCCGAAATATTTGTTATTTCACCAATTGTTATCGACAGGGGACGACCAGGAGACTGTAAATGGCAATCTCACAGTTGGCAATAATAAAATCCACCTGTTGCGAGACGTGGTCACCAACTGGAGGTTCAAAAACGGAATCCAGGCGAAAATATCCGATCTATACGTGCACATGAAAACCGTATTCGAACCCGGTTTGGTGCGAGTCTTCCAGAAACAAGTACTGGCGGCCGCGTTGCATCCTGTGTTTATGCGTACCGCCACGTATATACACCTGGTGCACAAGGTATTCTATCCCGGCAACAACAAAGTCGACGACGTGGATACGAGAATTAGCACCTACGAATGTGCAATAAACTCTTTGGGCGAAACCTTACTCGGCAGTATAGACGAATTAGTCGGTTTAAAATTGTTTCCGAACAGCGTGCAAAAATACTTGTATGATTTTCTGAAAGAAATTTCGACCATGGTAAAATTTCCAAAAAAAAAATTCTTGCAATTAATAACGAAACAATGGATTTCGTGGCTTTTGAACTCGTGTTCTAGACCGATGGAGCATATCGAGTTAGAGTTTTATAACCCAACCGAATTGTTCGAAATAGACACGAATAGTAAAGTAAAGGAACTCTTCGAAAACACTAAACAGGACATACAAGATTTAAGCCAGTACGTCAAAACATTAGAAAATTATAAGGAAGCGTTCCATGTTGTTGTTCGAACCATCGACAACGAAGATATGTTTGAATTAAAGCCAATCGACCTACTAATCAACGACTGGGTAAGATAAAAAGCCCATGATAAATTAAAAATTATTTTGGTTAAGACTTCATAGGGTAGCCATGTAATCCGGATCTACAAATTATATCAAATTCATAATGTTATTGTGTGGTAATAGGTATGTGAGCGATGAGAATACACAACGTGGACACGCGATATTTTGTTACTCAATTTAATCCAATGTCTGTAATTTTAAATAGTTAGGTAGCCATTTAATTAGGCTAACTATAATTACATTAAGTCTACGCGTGTATCTAACAAAATATTTTAAAACAAAAATATTATGTAAAATCAAACAAGCTTTATTTCGCTGTACCTACAAATTAAAGAACAAAACATTAAATGAAACTTGTATTATTCAAGAAAATCCAAAACAGCAAACCGTAAAAGCATATAAACTGAAAAAGAATAACTGATAAAAGTATTTAACTAACTTTATTAATACAATTTTGAAAAAATAGACTTGAGAATTTTAATTAATTTAACGAATTAAAAAAGTCAACATATAAAGCCACTATATCATTAATTTAACAGTAAGCTTACCATGCATAAATGCATTAAATATTTTCAATTATATTATTGTTTATTAAATTCAATAACAACAGACCTGAAACATTACGCACTATTTGTATTTTACTAAAAATACAGCTGCAAAAGCGTATATTATATTTGTTTTTATTTTTTAGGTTATGACAATAACGCCGTTCGTGGAGAAACAAAATCTATGAAGTAAAAACATTCTACCTAATATTTATAGGTAATTAAAATTTCTATGAATAAATAAACAACATAATAAAATGAATTGATTTTGATACGATATTTAAAGTTTTGTACTCTAAAGTTGTTGATCTTATCCAAGATATTTAATAGATTCTAGTGAAATTAAATTATTATAAAAAAAAATTATCGTATTAGCTTTACGTTCGTGTTCGTACAGCAGGAAAATTCAGGGTATTATTTTATTATACCGCATCTCCCAAAGACAACGGCCTAACTGCAAAAAGTCGAATTTTACAAGAATTGAATCCCCAAAAATATTCAACAAATTCTGCACTTAGGTCTTTAAAACGACTGTCGTTGTTTTTAGGGAGCTGCGTTATAATATATTAAGGTGTGCGTTAATTTTGAAATTTTTAAAACTTCTCCTGCAATGTTTTCTGCTTCTACTTAATATCAATTGAGTAGAAGCAGTCTGTACAATTGGTAGTAATTACGTGACCCATTTATTGGCCTATAAACATAGTTTTATTAGTACAGAAATATGATTCGCCTATCTTACTGTATTCAAACTACACTACATTTTATGAATAACAACGAATACATCTAACAATTAAGTGACCCTATTGTATTATAATATTATCCGGAATCATAATGCCCTTGAGCCTTATTGGGCCTTGGGTATATAATATATATAACGCATTTGACATTTTGTTAAATTAATTTAGATACAAGACTGTTATCTACTAAATATATCAACAAATTATTTTTTTTTGTTTGTAAATATTCAATACTACTATATATTGTAAAATATGATACAAATATAACTTACATTTTTACAATGAAATAGTATCAAGTACGTAACCTACAATTTGAAAACAACATCCGAATAATTTGTATTACTAACCTTTTGGTAGTTTATAGATCGCTCTCTGGCCTTGACTCTGGTCAATAATCCTGCATGCAATGCCAATACTTAATTAATAATTATGTGTATCTACGATTCTGTTTTTTTTTTAAATTTCATATTTTACATAGATCTACTTAGTACATATATAATGACTAATGATAAACACTTAACTAATGGTACAATATTTAGGTGTTTATCTCGATTTTGGTGGGGAAGGAGTAAACTTTAATGTTAGCCTTAAGTTTTAAAAAGTACTTTTTAAGCAGGATGGTTGATTTACAAACTTGCTAGATTATAAAATGATCCATAGAGATATTATCATAGGTTCAAGAAGAAAAAAATAAAAAAATAATACCATAACATCATTGTAAAATAATCAGACCTAGGTTTTGAATATTTTTGAAATTGGATCCAACTTGTTATGCATAGTTATCCAATAAATTTGACCAAATTATTGGTGTATTTTTATTGTGCGTTGTGACCCCTAAAAATAAAATTGTATAACTAGGCTATCTATAAAATACTATTGAAATATTATATTTTGAGATTGTTAAACAGTTTATAGTGTTTGAATAATTTAAAATAATACAAATCCAAGATGGTAGCGCTTAGCAAAATGAAATATTCAATATAATATTAAAAATACATATTTTTGGGTATTGAAGAAGTAAGTATAGCGGCTACAAACCTATTTTACTGGTGGTGCAAATCCAGGCAAACATTATTTTTCAATGGGACATCTATATTCTACCTATGCTAAGTAATAAATATAAAATTGAAATGTGACGGTATTTGATAATAGGTACTCGGTATTTTTCTCATTCGTCCTTATAACAATTTACAAAAGTACAAATATTAATTACTATAATTCAAATAGAATTTTCTGTTTCTTTAAACTACGGGCAAGGCACGCCTGGGGTAAATCAAATTGTTTAGAAAGGCATTCGCCTCATCCTAATGCCACCGCGTCACTGTAACGTACCTACTGTGGGTATAGTTTGCTAAATTATATTTGTAAAATTCAATTAACAAAAATGTGTTCAACGAGAAGGGCAACATTGTTTAAAATTTCGAAGTGTCAATAATTATTAGTATTGTACGTGGCTGTAAATAAATATCAGTGGTCGGTAGACGAATTTATTGGCCGCGAACGTTAAAAAATGACATATTTAAGTTTTAACCGATATTTTTTTAATAACGCGGCGAGTTCGTTAACCCCATTTTCTGGCATGCCCTAAACGTGAAGACGGCAGTATGTACTATGTAGAAACGATTTTTTTTTGTTTAATGAATTTGTATACATTTTCCCCTGAAGCACTTATCTGAACACTGTAGATCAAGCTAGCGGTAGCTGCGGTACAGCAGCTGCTGTGGTTCGCCAATCAGTTTTGTCGTGGCCGCTTCTGTTTGGTCGACAATGCATTGTTGTAATACATGTATTTTTTCATAATGGATATCTAATCAAAAAAAATAATAACTATCACTATCGATGCCTGTACCGTGGCGTGGGTCGATTCTTTGACCTACGAATAAGAAACGCAATTACGTATTTTTCTATAAAAAAATAGTACACGTGGAAATATTTTGGCAACATTTTTGAAAAACAACGCTGACGAGACAATAACAATATTTGAAAAAAAAAATTCTTACGCGCATTTCGGTCTTTTGCGGTACGCTCACTATCGATAGTTGTAAACATCGATTGTAGACGCTAATCAATTACAATTGCATTACAAAGGAGATAACGATATTTCCGTTCGGGTTTTTGTGTTGTGGTGGACACGAGTATACAACATACAACGTCACCTCACCTCGCTCACGAACTACTTAAGCTACCCACACTTGTTCACTTTTACCCGTTGCCTGTAACGGTTTAGATCTCGCCAGCAGCTCTCGATCAACAATTGTACTTTGTCTCTGTGCATGCCACCATCTTCATACAGAATCATGACTTTGGCGAAATGGGCAATTGTGCCGGTGACGGTATTCGTTATTATCGCGGTTGTGTACAGTCAAGCGTCCGAGGACGAGAAAAGAGGACCAAAAGTCACAGATGTCGTAAGTAAATAATGTAGTAGCTAAACACACATGCCGTGTTTGTACCCGGTTACCTTTGTGGTAAAACCCATTGTCTATTGATCATTGTGCATTTGGCCTCACAATGCCGGTTCTATACAAACAACAAACGGGTCGCTTTAATAAATCGTGCGCGTGTTTGTTTGTGCACAGGTGTGGTTCGACATCCAAGTGGGTTCCGACAAGCCAGAGAGAGTGGAAATCGGTCTGTTCGGCAAGACTGTTCCCAAAACGGTTCAAAACTTTGTCGAACTAGCGCAGAAGCCAAAAGGTGAAGGTTACAAGGGCAGCAAGTTCCACAGGGTCATCAAAGATTTCATGATTCAGGGTGGAGACTTCACCAAAGGAGATGGAACCGGCGGCCGTAGCATTTTCGGCGAAAGATTTGAAGACGAAAACTTTAAGCTCAGACATTACGGCGCCGGTTGGTTATCTATGGCTAACGCTGGGAAAGATACCAATGGATCTCAGTTCTTCATTACTACTGTAAAAACCTCCTGGTTAGATGGACGCCATGTTGTGTTTGGAAAAATTATTAAAGGAATCGTAAGTATTGTTTACCAAGTTCCTAATATACTGTTATTTAAACAAATTAATTATTAATGTCGCTTTTTTTTTTAATTTGTTATACAGAAAACTATTAAGAAAATTGAAGCTACCAAAACAGACTCGAGAGACAAGCCCGTTGCTGATGTTACAATTGTCGATTCCGGTCATAATGCCATTCCAGAACCATTCTCAGTTAGCAAGTCTGATGCTACTGAATAAATCAATTACCAATTAAAAACATTACCTGATAATGATTGAGCATTGTATGTTATTGAATGCATTAAATGTTCAATGGTAGTTTTTATGCATTTTATAACATCACTTACTTAATATTTAAGTGAGATCAACAAATTGAACAAATCTATATTGTAAACAAAACTCAATAGTTACACATATTATGCTACTTATTTTTTTTTATAGTTTTAGTAATTCGATTTTGTATGATTGTTAAAATTTTAAAGAACTAATATCTGTATTTTTTTTTTTTACAATTTTTACTTGTTTATTATAAATAGTACACTTTTTCTCTACATAAATAATTATTTGTTTTACATTATTATATTCTACTATAGCATATCACTAATACCGGGACGTCTATATTCTCGTTTCTTATAAGGTCGACTATTGCCGTAACTAGCTGCTACCATGTTATCCTGATAATTATTATTCACTGGTCGCTCAACCATTTTGACATCTGTACACAGGATCGAATCTAGTGTCTAAAAAAAAAATAAAAAATTGTAAATAATAGGTGAATGATGCAATAGTGATACAAAAAATCATTTATAATTTTTGTTTTTTATAAAAAGAGTATTAATTTCTTAACTTACTGTTTCTGAAATAATGTTTAACTCTTCAAATTGACTTAATATTCTCTCCAATTCCAATGAAATTTCCTTGCTTTCTTGTTTCTCAGCAGTACTTTTCACAATGTCAATCTAAATTTAAAAAAAATAATTTATATAGTATTACATAATATGATGCATAGAACTAAATCAATCGTACAAACTGAATAATATATATATATATGTTTTATAATTAATATTTATTTTATTCATATTTAATTATAAAATACTTATGGTACAACAATAATTTTCACAGATGATATTAATTAAAAGGAACGGAAAGCGCTATTTATTAAGAGATTAAGAAATCTAAAATTTACTGTATTAAAAATACATTAGTACCTGGGTATCTTAATAACTGACAAGCCTTAAATAAAAACAATTTTGTATAATTTACATAATATATTTTTAAATATTATTTAAAAGTATATATCGATACCTTAAAGCACACAAGTGATGTGTCGGACTTGTGTGCTTTAATGTATTTATATAATATGATATATTTATACATAATAGTTACAGTAGTTGTAAATCTACATACTTTACTTTAAAGTTTTGATAGGTTTATTTATAATAAAATATTTTATTATTTTTTATTGTAATTAATGTAATTTAGGAAAAAATTATGGACTTTTTAAGCAAAGAACAAAGATGATTTTTTCATTGACAAACTACTCATTATTATTTGCAGATTACAAAGGTATCAATACTGCATGGTAGATATCTAGTGATGAAAAAAATAAAAATAAATTATTACTATAAATTTAAAGTCAGTATTAATCTGATTCAAATTTTAAAAATGTTATATAAATTTTAATACAAATTACAAGACTTAATTAAACCACTTTATAAACTATAAAATGTTTACTTTAAAAAAGCAATGCTATAAATAAATGTATAGGTATGTAAAACAATTTAATATGATTTAAATAAAATAGTATAGATTAAAAAAAATGTAGTACAAGTACGTAATATTATTAATGCAGTACATTTTACTTTTAAGTCCTACTCTTTGTACAGTATATGAAAACCGAAAATTTATAAAGACTACAATAATAAAATATAAAGAGTGGGGAATTTTATGGCATTTTACCAATAAGACAAAAATAAAAATGTATTCATTTTATTTTTATGTTAAAGTACAATGGCCATACGTAAAAATTATAGTCATATGATCTTTTATTTTACATAGGATAACAATGCTATTTGTTAGTATTTGTATGACAATAATTTAGATTTTTTTATTAAAATAAAACCATTTAGACATTTAGAGGTCGAAGGTAATAAAAAATTACTCTTTATACTGGCTGTGAAAAAAATTGCAATATTTTGAAATTGTAAGCAAACATCACAATGACATGTGCTCCCTCTGTTTACTTGATACTATGTTGTAAAAAGTTTTTATAATTTAAATGAAACAAATGTAGCTAAGAAGTCTGCCGAACCATTGCTAAGGTTATTTATACAGCTACTAGACCCTGATTGATCTATCTATTAAGAAGCACATCAGTTGGTATATGTTTCGGCATTAATTTTTTTTTTCAGCCTAATTTGTATTTTATATATCACTTAGCAGTTGTCTACTATAAAGACTAGATTAGGACTATAGCTATACTAATTAAATTTTAATAAACAATTGTAATATTAATTTAAGAAATCACTAAATTGTTAATATATTTCTACTGCTACTATCATTTAATATTTATACTCTGCGCCATGAGAGAAGTAACCCGTTGCTCGACCGAAACGCGTCCGATTCCGCGCATCGCCACCGATAGGCCACACCCACGGTCGGCGGCGGCGCTGCATATATAGGGTGTATTATAACGTAAACTCGATACAGTGTGTCACAAGTCATAAGACTCACGTCTTACGTCTTTGAACCACGCGCTTGCGTTTACTGTTGAATTATTACATTATTATATTATTATTATAATAATAATATAATAATAAATAATATATTATATATTATATAATAAATATTAAATTTATATTTAATTTAAATATTCTTTAGTTCTAATTTATATAATTAAGTTATACACGAAGGTTTGGGATGCGTCATTTCTTTGCCTGTACACCAAAAGTCGGGACGCGGCTTTCCTTTGCCTGTACACAAAAACCTCTGATCTCACTTGACCTGGTTGTAAAAATATGTTATAATAATAACATATTATATTATTATAATAAATAAAATAATAATATAATAAATTATATTAATTTATAAATATAAATATTTATATTTATAAATTATAATAAATAATATACTCTATATACAATCACTCTGTATATCGTCTGTTTCGCGCTGTATGCACGCCTCAGCGCGACATCGAATGGCACAAAGTGGGGGAAATGGGGCCTCAGGACAGTTGTGGCCGTCAGTCGTGATGCGCGAAACGGGTTACTTCTCTCATGGCGCAGAGTATATATAAAACAGAATGATTACTTACAACATCTCTACAAAATGTTTGTTTCACGGCATTATTAAAGCTGTCTGAAGGCCGATCTAAAGACAAAACACTTCTAAGTATAGGAAGTGCATCATGAATTCTCCCCAAGTCGCATAGTGCAACAACCTTTATGTTGCGCAGTGTCACATACACCTGATTTCGTACAGTTGAAAGTACTTCAATTGCAATATGAGGACTATTTTGGTTCAAAGCATTGGCAGCGAAAAACGTAACAGTTTTTCTAATAGGAATGTGACCAGCTTCTTGTTGTTCGGTCCATAATTTGCAAGCATATTCAAAACTTTCTGCTGTGTTCTTAAAATAAAAGTTGCAAAATTAATACCCAAATATGAAGCAAAGTTTTTATGGTAATTATTAATATTTGCAATATTACAATGTTATTGATAAATATGTATCTCTTACGAGTTTGTAACAGGCGGCAAATACCAACATCATTACTCCTTTGGGAAATTTCGCTATTTGTAACTGTCGCTCTTGAATTGTTTTGTATGCACTCAAAATTTCATCATATTTTCCATTTATGAATAATAAATCCATTAAAATTTGATACGATGTTAAATGATTGAAAAATCCTTCCAATTCTGGTTCATAAAACATCTAAGGGTTTATATAAAAATGAATATTCTTAAAAATTTTAACATTTAAAATGGTATCATTATAAAGACAAGGTATGTTAAAAATAAAACACAGTAAGTGTCTTTTTTTTTTTACTTACTTTCAACGCAAAATCAGGTTTATTAAGATGATAAAACATACGCATTACAACAGGGCCAAATGTAAAATTTCCAAAACGCAATCCTTTATTTTGTTGGTTAAACCTATTGTATAGATGTAAGTTATTAAAATGATAACTTTGAAAAAAGTTACAATAATTTATTTTATCACAAACTTTTTCATCATTTGTTCAACAAGTTTTAATTCAACTTCATTATCATCAATCATATGCACAATTTGTTTCAAATCTTCAGTGAATATAAGACTGGTAGATTCTGGAATAGCAAATGATTGCATGCGCTCCAAAAATGTCTGCTTGTCGACATCACTATATTGACTGCTTAGTTTCTCTCTATAATATTGGTACTTATCTAATCCTAGGGCAGCTGGTTCATACAAATTACGTTTACCTGAAGAAAAAAAACAAATATATAAGATATGTATATAACAAAAAATGCTTTAACAAAATTATAAAATATATTAACTTTTTATTATTATTTTTAAAGGGCCTACATTTACATCTGTGTTTTTTATCAAAAACAACTACTTCTAATTTAACCCTACTCTATAACACGTAATCGGACAATAGGTTAGAAAACAAATATAGATTTTTCAACACTAGCTTGATGTATCGATCAAAGTATATTTTTAGTTTTTAATATAATTGTAGAATTAAGTACCTGGTAAAGTAAGAAAAATTACAAAGATCCCACACAAGATAATAAATACAACATTTTAAAACAAGTTCCTCAAAATTACATGTATTTATAATAGTCACACAAAATGGATGCATTTCTTAAAAATAAAAACAAAAAATCACAATTGTAGAAAAGTTGCTACAACACAATCATAATCACCATTATATAATCTGCAAGATTGTTAGAATTTTACCTTTGAATACTAAATTCCTCATAATTAAATTATTAACTTAAATTAAATTTCTGTACAAATTTACTATACCAGATATCCTTTTTTTACCAAATCATAGTGTTTTTTATGTTGATTATGAATCTGAAGTCAAAATCGATAGGCCATTCTAGTTCCATAGTTATAGCTACTTGGAACTTGCATATTTCGGCTGCAGCTAATTTTTGACTTCAGATTTGCAATCAGCATAAAAAACACTGTATGGCAAAAAAAAAAGTGTCCAGTAATGGAAATTTATACCTATATTTCTACTGTAAATTAAGCCTTGTCTACATATTATTAACTTTGTTACTAAAATTTTACACTACCATGGTTATTATAGGTTATTTAACACATTTATGATTTAGCTTCATTACACAGTAAATGAGCAAACACAACAAATTTACTAAGGTGTGGAAACTGGAAAGGGATTAAGTAACAGTACCTACGTAAGTTGCTATCAGTCTTAAAATTTTTTTTATTAAAGCGAGCGTAAAATTAATATCTCAAAGGAATCCGTTTATCTTTAAAATTTCTTTAAGAACTTACATATAACATTCTGTAACACTTTGGTGGAATTCAATCCATTCCTGTATAGATTAGCAATTGATTTTGAAAACATTACACTTAAATCTTTATATTAATAAAAATGCAAAATCTTAACAAAAAAACTGGATGAGTAGTTGTTATTTTTTAATATTGGCAGAAACGACCAGAACTCAGCAAATTATACTTCAATATTAATCAATTTTTATGTTTTTTCGAGTTTAGACTAAGGAAATAAGAATAGCAGATTCAAATCGATCAAAAAATATAATAATGAAAATATCCCATGGGCCATGGTATATTTTTGAGGTTAAATTATAAATCTTTTACCGGTTATCAAAAGAAAAGAAACCAGATAGCATAGATATATATAATTATTATATATATCTGTGCCCGATAATGATAACTGATACCTGTTATCAATTTTTTTGTAATTTATCATTTGCATGAAACGTAGACCATAATAACTATTAATTATTATGAAATATGGACCATATTTTGATAATTGGTAATGTGATTTGTAACGTAGCTTGAATTTTTCTAGCGCGTAATACCATATACTATATAGTTTTTAAGAGGACGCCACACCGGCCATTTCTAAGAAGTAAAGTATAGGCAATTTTTCGAAAATTCATAATTTAGAGCTTGAACTATAATGCATACTTATTAAACAGTAATGAGGATACTTTGTTGATTGCCATTTTTTTTTTGTCAGACTATGACAGTCATTTCTATAGGATAAATTACAATTTTTTTCCTTCAAAACTGCTTTGCGCGAATTAATTTTTCTCAGGCATCATATATAGTTAAGGAAAGAAATTCATACATATTATTTATGACAAAATTATCTGTGTTCCATCATCGGTATTTTTTCAATACACCTAATACAATCAACGCTATATCATTTTTAAAAAAGTTCTTTCTTAATTAATTAATTATTCATTAACTGATTGAAATATTAAAAATGGACGATGGTAGAATACAGACAATTTTGTTGTCTATGTTATGTGAAAATTTGGTTTCTTAGTTTTGATTACAGCTTTTGTAAAATTAAACCGCGCAAGGCGGGTTTTTTGAAGAAAATAAAGGGTGTGTGACGTCCTCTTAACTAATTATATAAACTGTGCCTGTTATTAATATTTTGATAATTTGATGGAAATTTCAAAATTCTGCTTACATTATTCAATTCAAATATTTTAACTGTGAACTTAAAAACTATTGTAGATACACTGATCATTTTCATATAATTAATTATGTTCAAATATCACAAAGTTCAAAAATGATATTTTACTGTTTAATTAATGCAAACAAAGTAATTTAACGTTTAAAATATTTATGAACTTATGAACAACTGTAATTGTTTTTATTACAGATTTCTCTGTTGAAATATTCATACTACGTTAGTTATTCATACATTTTAATATAGTGTCAAACGACATTACATTAGTTTTTGTAGTTTGATTAGGTTTTCCACAATGAGACTTCTTGTCAATACATAAGTACTAATATTAAAAGAACTAACAATATTAAACATTTAGTTTTTATTTTTAAAATACATAGTTATGTTTATTTTCCAAACTTACCTTGAGGCTTGGCGTAAACACAAGATTAATTATAGAATCATGAAATTGGAATAATGCAGAATTTAGGAGTAATGTAACGACGAGATTTTTATATATTGAATAAAACATTTAAATAGCTCTGCAGGTTTAAAATATTACAAAGGTTATAGAAATGCAAGTTTTTCTTTATTGAACAATATATTTTTAAAAATACTTTTGTATTCTTTACAGCGTACAAAATAAAGAGACAAAGCCCAAATAATTGTTTATATTATAATATAGTATTTTTCTAAATAATTTACCTTAATATAAGGTCAGTCTACAATACACAACATGTATGATTACAGATTAATTTACATCACAATTTAATAGCATAAGAGATCAATAATTATTGCTCATGTAAATTGTTAAGCTACTACCACTATGTTCAGTACAGTTTAAAATATGACTACGTCGAAACATTGAATTGCTCTTAATACGCACAATGAGCTGTTGGTTGAATTAAATTTCTAATTTCCTTGACATCATTTGGGTGAAATATATTTAAATATAATATGCAAATTTGAGTAGGGAATATTTGTGTCAGCAGTGGATGGAATAGTTTTTTATAAGTAATTTTTAATGTAAATTATACAGGCCTTTTAAATGCTGTTATTTTCGATTATGTTTTGTAACATTTAACTTCTAAGTATCAAAAATGCATCGCATATACCTGACAATTTTTATTTCATTAGAAATACTATTATAAAAAAGTTCAAAAAATTATAAGTTCAAATAATTTTAAGACAAAACAAAAAAATATTGATTTAAGTAAATAAGATTAAATTGTTAACATTTTTTGTAATAAAAAAAAGCCATAATGTCTGTAAATAATCAATATAATATTAATTAATTAAAACTTCTATGGCGGATAGTTTTAATTATTATTTTTATTTTATTTTAAATTTATGTTGATACTATTGGATGATTATAAAATAATTAGTTTAGAAGTCGCAACTGTTGTACTACAGATAAATTGTATACATAGTATTAAACAGGGAATTGATTAGACACATTACTAAAACTAGAATCTAAATCAATATCTTTCATATCTGAATCTGATGTTGAACTGTCTGCCTTTCGGGTGTTATATTTCTGTTAAGAGACAAAACAATAATATTGTTAGTAAATTCAATAAATTCCTTTTTCCCACCTACAACTACTCACTTCTGATATTTGGTTAGATACAAGCGAATTTCCATTAAGCTCTTGACAATATTGTGCTGTCCTGTAGCGACGTACTCGTAAACCAGGACCAATGGGACGTCTACCAGCACTGTAAAACAATGATGAATAATTAAAAATGATGTTAGGAGTAATAGAGTTTATGACTTACCTTTTTCTTCTTAAATTAAAATTATTTGAATTTGATTCGGTCTCTTGGTAGTAGTCTGATAGATCACTCAAATTTGATGGCCGGTTATTGTTCAGTATTTCGTTTACTTGTCTGCCCAGCCTATCTAAATGCTCATCGTCACTTAATCTCACGCCACTACTGCAGGAACTATCTTCGCCCTTTAGAAATTATACATTATATTCGTCTTACTAGGAGCTTAAAAAAATGATTTTATACTAACTTGTGAATGAGCGGAGTCAGACATATTACCATTGAGTATGTCTTGGTGGAGACCCGAATCAATAGTTTCAGTTTGTGTTTCACTATTAACCTTATTGCTACTTATTTGTCGAGAGGTATTCCAATTGAATTCCTTTGTGTTATCACACTACAAGTAAAATAGGTATGATTAAATAATAAAATAGTTGTTAGAACAAGTAAATTAAATAAGAAAAAAGGTACAAAAACAGATGTAACGTGTTTTAATTTCTGCGCAGTACTGTTCTCCAGTGAGACTAAGTATATAGTTATAATGAGCGTTTAAGGAAAATTATTTTATTTATTATATATTATATCTATGGATATGAATTTTGTTAACAAACCTTATTGTTTTTGACAATTGAGCATATGACCTGAGCTTTTCTAGGACGAGTTTTTCGTTGAGTTTGTTTTGGAGCAACAGCAATCGATTCTGGTTGATTTGAACTACCACATACTTGTGCATAAAGTGTTGCTTTTGGTGGCAATTTCTATTCATCATAAGAAATTTATTAGATGTTAATGTATAAATAAGTTAAAAAAATTATAATTACATTATCATATTCTTGAAAAACTCTTTCTGGAGATGAAGGTGATGTAGTTGTAGATAAACTAGACTTGTCTTGTTTGTTCAATCTATCTTGAGCTTTTAACAGTGGTCTTATCAACCTTTTTTTGTAGACTTTAGACATTTGTTTTTCTCTTCTAAACAGTAAAGATAATAATATTATATACTAACATCAAATGCTACATCATGGTTATATGTACAAGATAAAGCATATATAATGTACTTAAAATAAAGATATAGAAACTTTAATACAAGTTCTATAACTTAATATTTCTTTTCAAAACATACCTAATCAAATCTCGTTCTCGTTGTTCCAATTGCAATAATACTGCACTAAGCTCCATATAGAGATTGTTGGCCCTTTCCAATTTCCTTTCATAATGCTCCCTAATATCTTGCGCATGTTTTAATTCATTTTTTCTTTTTTTAATTAGATCTTCTTCAAATTTCGGTATATGGCTCCCATTGGTTTGCATTTGCAACATATGAATTCGGATTTCTTCTTTCCATTGAGCCTGAACAATTTGTTTTTTATTTTTATAAATATGATCAATAGAAGCAAAAATGATTCAAGTTAATGACATTTACCTGTGTTTTGAAATATTCATCGGGTGTGCTAGCCAGTACTTGAGAACTAGCTATATCTAAATGCATCATTATGTGCTTGAAAGATGGTCTATTACGTGGTTTAGCTGCCCAACATTGTTTGATTAATAAACGGAAGCCATCTGGACATGATGAAGGAATAGGTAGATGTAATGAATTACTACCAACACCCCAAATTATGGCTGATGAATCTACATCTTTGTACGGTGTTTCACAGGTCATAAGTTCCCACAACACTACACCATACGACCTAAAACGTTAAACAATTAATTTATTCTTCAAATACTGAAATATATACAGTTTTATAAGATCACATTTTAAGATTTGAAAAAACACTAACCAAATGTCTACTTTTTCAGAGCAAGGTTCATTTCTTATGATTTCTGGAGCCATCCATGCGACTGTACCAGCAAAACTCATTTTAGTGCTTATTTCATTCCATTCTCGACTGGTACCAAAATCACTGATTTTCACAATTTCTTGTCGTCCAATTAAGACACTAGAAAACAATAAATATTATTATAATTTTTCTAATGTGTATTATAACAGGAGATATAAAAATTATTTACTTTGGGCTTTTAAGATCTCTATGAATGATTTTGTTCACATGTAAATAGTGCATACCCGAAGCAATTTGTTTGGCCCATGACACTAAACGTACTGGTGGAATTTCTTCACCATCTCTAAGCAGATTATAAAGAGGCCCATAAGGGCAATACTCCATAACTATACAATAACATGGAGCTTGAGTACATACACCCCTATAACATAAACAGGTAAATAATATTTATTGATAATTAATGGTAATCGGCTTTTGATAATATTTACATAGTAAAACTAACAATAATTGAAAGTTTTGAACAATGAAAAAAATATTTAACCTACTACTAAAACAAAACAAGATAATACAAATACAACAAAATATATAAATTTCATTTAAATTATTTGCCACACAAACAATAATAAAGAAATGTGGAGGACCTAAGTATGAAAGTAATTTACATGGTGTTTGCGTCACGCATTATTCTAATTAATGGAGCATTATACCTACATATAATTAAATAATACATATAGATTGTATTATAAAAATTGTAATATTAAAAATATTTTTAGTCTTACCTAAATTGAACTATGTTTGGATGATTGAGCTTCCTAAGGTGTCGAATGTCTGTTTCTTTTTGTTCGCGGACTTTTTTTACCGCTACAATTTCATTCTTCAATTTACCACTAAACACTGCTCCTTGTGCTCCTGAACCTAACCACTGTAGGTCACTAATTGATTCAAATGGAATATCCCAAAGATCTAAAAAATGTTATATAGTTTTAGTAGATTTCACAAATGTGTTTATTACTAATAAATTAACATAGCTATAATATCTTATTGAGAAATTTTATTATCCAGTTATAAAAATTATATTTCTTAGAACAATTAAAAATGATAATTTGTCATCAATTGTAAAGGTGGTAGTTGGATATATGTTTAATACTTAAATGTTCTCACTATTTGTATTATAATGTTAAAAACAATGCAAAGAGCACTCACAACTAGTATTCATATACATACACCAAGATATGAATTTTTTTTTTTAAACAAAAGCGATAAAAAATGTTTACCTTGATACGATTTAAGATCATGGCTGTTGCCTTTTCCAATGATTGCCCACATTGGCTTTAAGCATCCCAATAGGCCGTCAATCCAACCGCTCGGTTGTAACACGCCAGCTTCTAATTTGCCATTTCCCAGAGTATTTTCTTTGACTTGCTCTTTATCCTTTACGCTAAGGTGGCCGAGTTCTTCTTGGATACATAACATACTGGAAACATAAACAATACTAATAATTAGTCTAATCAACAAGATGTTGAACACAAAATATTTTTAAACTCATTATAATTTGTACTTTTTTTCTCTTGGCTTCAAACTCAACTTGGTCCTGCAGACAAACATATCGGTCAAACAGTGCCTCATGCTTGTTTCAAATTTTACAGTCGTGTTAAATGTTTTTAAAAGTTTTTTTTTTTTTTTAATTCCTTTACGCGTTACAAGTTACAGGAACGGACAAATGTCGGTCAGAAAAACATGCGGGTGGCCAGGTACTAATATTATTATAATACCGTTGTAGTAGTTTGCACATTGATGATGTACTAATTGTGTACGGAAATTGTAAAAATAATAATATGACAAACAAGTTAATTCGATTATAAGTAAATGTTAAAAAAAATCAACGTGTAACAAATAGAACAGGAAGATGACTGACGCGTGCGTTACATAACCAAAAAGAAACGTCAAATTCGTCGTTGGCGTTTCCACGAGAAAACACTGAACGTACACCTAATAATAATGTACCTATATTATATTATACTATTATGATAAAACGAAGAATAAAAAAAAACAACAACAATAATATCGTTATTCGTTAATCGTGGTCGAAATAATAGCGTTTATGCACAATAATTATTATTATAATACTATTAGTGAGCGCACCAACGTCGTACCGTGTGTGAAAAGACAGAAAACTACCGCCGAACGCGGTGGTACAATATTTTTGGACACCGTTATTAAATATTATAATATACGGGCTACGGCGTAATGTAGGCACAATATTATTATCTCGAGAAAAACATTGATAGTGATGAAATACTGTGTATACAATTTATACCGTCAATTATATATTATTATTTTACCTACTGTAAGTTGCGCGGTTCCGGTTCGAGGAGGACCCCACTCAGTCGCGGTGGAATAATAATAATAGCTGGTTTTCTATGAACCCAATCCGTCTAGACGCGACCTTGAGCTCCGGAATGCCCGCGAGAAAACTTCACCATACCTACTACACTCGACTCGACAATAATACAATACCAATAGGCAACAGAACGCCTACCTATAGAATATGCATTGTGCATTGCAATAATTATTGTACAGATTTTACACTCTGTTTGGAGGCACGAAATACCGCATGCCGCATTGATGATCTCAAACAAGAACGGTTTTATAAAAAAAAAAGCGGTATCTTAGGGGCGAGGGCCGATATTACATACTAACTAGGTACTGTAACTAGTTAAATTAATAGGTTAGCAATGAATTAAAAAAAAAAAATAAACATCGTGTTGTCTATTATAGTTAGGATACAAAAGTTAGTTATGGACTCTTGTTTCTACCTAATGTTAAAGTCTTAGAAAAATACACATTGTTGTAGGTTTGTAGGTGTAGGTACTAGGCAAAATTTCAAATAGTCATGAAGCTTTTTTAAAAATCAAACATTTAAAATTATAACTCCCCATATATACTATACCTACTCATCACTCAGTAACTTTATATACGTTTGAAGATGACATTGTGACACCCTCTCATGCAACCGAACTATTTGTTTTCAATTAAACAGGGGTGGTTCTAGACTGGGACAAGTTTCCCGCTAAAATTTACTGTTGATCCAGTTGGGCCACAGCTATAATCTCAGAAATTGAAAATGTATTATGCGTGCAATATTGGGACACAAATATATTGCGCTACCTCTACAGAACTGTAATAGAATTATAGAGACTATCCTGTCTTTCAGCTTTCTACCATAACACTTATTATAAACAACAGTAAATAGTATTTATTAATACGGAGTTTAGGTGAAAATATTCGATAATAAAGGGTATTTTGTTGGGGTACCGATAGGGTAATGCTTGTAAACACAGTTTAAAGAACACGTTTTATAATGTATTGTATATTTTGTATAAGTATACAAAAATGATCACTAATAGACTGCAGAAAAAAATATGACGCAAATATCGATAACACTGTATAAATACACTACAATAAATACTAAAATATAAATAAATAAAATCTAGCGAAAATGATGTGCTTACACTTAGCAGTATAGTTTTAATTGTAAACATTGGAATTGTTACTATCTGGGAGTCTTCATCAATACTACAAAAAAAACTTATTTCAGACCCTATCATAATTGTCGGTTATATAAAAATTAAATTTTATAGGAAATTAAAATGTAAATAAAAACGGTCATGACGTGTGAATTGAAAATCAATTAGTTATACAATTTAAACTAGTTTTATGAACTAAAGTCTAAAATAATATTTATGTAAAAATGAACCTACAACAAATCTAAACAAATTTAAAAATGTAATTAGAATAAATTATAAATACAGCGTACGGTTGTCTTAGAATCTCGACTGAGAATTTAATTATTATTAATTTTGAATGTCACCTCTTAGAGCTAATTGTAGTCTGTGTCCTGTAAGAGCAAAGCAATACTGCCTTTAGGTTAGGTTTCTGTAAAGGATATGACATGCCACGTATGTTCTAATTTTAAAAACATCAGTACACGTTATGTCATAGTCTATATACGTACAAGTACAAGGCTAAGTCTAAACAATTTGGAGCTATTAAGACATTGCATAATGATACATCACATTAAGATTAGGAGCTTCGGAACATAACTATTAAGTATTTTTAAATGTCATAATATTGATAATTGTTCATGATTGAATTTGTTATTCAATAGTAATAAAAATTATCTAATGTTTATAAATCGAATTCTCAATTCAAAGTACAAACAATTATTACCAAGTATTGGTTAAAGTTGTTACAGGTTATTAGTTATTACATAACAATAATTCAAAACAAATAAACCTATAGTATTTTTAACATAAATTATGTTTAATTATTTTATACATGCATAAATTCTGAGAAAAATTGTACACGATGCATCATTAATTGAAAGCTGATAGGTACATTTGATTAGGAATTTCGTATTGTATTCTAATATAAAAAAATATACAAAAATTGCGAGCACGGAAGTTATTATGCCACTTGAATCAGTCGTGCGTTTACCTTATTGAAATCACGATATTTGAATTTATCAAAACACAAATTACTACATATTAAACAACATGATAGGTATATTAGGTATATAAGCGCAGATAGCCTAAATTATGTTGAGTTCTGTGATTATTCAGATAATATCAATAAAAATAAATTTCCTCGAAAAGCATACCAATTAGGCTGATAGTTTTTAGGATGCTCACGCCTAAAACTGTTACATATCGAATGTTACTTCATTTGAATATTTTTTAAATTGTACCTACATAGTTAGTAGTTATCGTTGTGGATTTTTCTACGCCGGTCGCTTAAAGTTCAAACGAGTGTTCATTAAAATGCTAAATTATGAAGTACAAAAACAAACATAAATGAATACGATTATATCCATTCATTGTGTTATGCAAATAGAGATTATTTAATTCTGGTACGAATACATTTGGTGTAACTTCAAATGTATGTACTATGCAGTATTGTAAGTTAGTAACAGGTATTTTTGGTTTTTAAGCGCCAAGCTATCAACTGTACAATAACCATGTAGCATAAATCAGCTGATAATTGCTCGATATTGATGCATTGAGCACTGAGTTATCAATTTCATTCGTTAGATTGGTTGTAGACTGTAATAGGTTGATATTTTGTAAGAATTATGACATTGATTTCTTTAAGTAGGTACTTTAAGGCATTTCAAAAAATATTTTTTATTTTAACCAGAGATGGGCAAATACATTTTACAACGACACTAATATTCATCAAGAAGTAAATTTATAGGCACATTATGATTTATGAATGTATCAAGATTTTGTATACTGTATCAAGGCTCACCACCACTAATGATAACAACCATTGGGACTTATGGATTTTGAAATAACGCTTTATCTTTGAATCAAAATCATATAAGAAGTATGTATACGTTATTGACTGTAGTATACTACAAGACTTAATGCAGACCGCCATACGCTGTTATTATAGATTATATAGATGTCATTTCCTGGATAGCCAATAATAATATCATGGGTTAAATATCATTATAATTTATAATAATATTATGGTATAATATATATTTTATTATTATTTACGCTACGATAAGCCTAATACATTAAAAATATCGAGTTTTTTTTCTTAATAATGTAAGAGTCTCATCAGACACTAAAGCTAAACACTAAATAGGCAAGTGCAGACGGGAGGAGCTTCTATTTTTTAAAATTGTCTTAGGTCTCGAAATGTCTTGTTCAAAGGATCTATCACGAAATGATGTCGGTTACGGCCAAGAGCGGGAGATACACTAGACGCCTTTTTTTCGACAAATCGACTAGCGTAAAGTAGAGTTACACACAAGTCACTCTCCTCCCCCCCCCCCAGGGCGCGTGTAATTTCTATATCATTATTAATAATAATTACGTTCCACGTATGTGTGAGCGACGGCCGCACTAGCACTAACGCTTGCGCGTAACTCGCCTTTTGGTGAAGTACAGCTCGTCGCGGCCTTTCGACGAACCGCTGACTGTGGTCGTGTCGCTGCAACTGATGGCCGTTGCATCCGAAGACTTTGCCCGTTTGCTCCGCGAGAACAGTTTCCTGATGAGCATCGTGTCCGGCGTTCCAGACGTGACCGCTGTTATTCGCCGTTATCGTTAATTTATGCGTTATAACTAATCCTCGACACTCGAGTGACATGTATACGTCATGTTATAATAAACTGTAGAAAAACTAAACACTTAAAACCGCGCACTTGACTACTGGCGAAACGCGACGCGGCCGAGCGGGTTGTACCAGCGACAGCGACGGTCTCGATACGTTTGCGCGCCGTTTGCCTGCGAGTGCGACCAATTACTATTGTAAAATGTAAAACGAAAAATAACGTTTAAATTCGACGTCATGCCATTTCAACGTGTATGTGTGTTATAATATAAACATGTAAATAAGCGTGTTTGTGTGTACACCAATGTCGGGACCTGTGTATGTATGTGTGGACGAAAAATGTACAAAAGC